GAGACAGTGGCGCCCTCCAGGCAGGCCCTGCCTGCGCCTCGCCCTGCCCCGGCCCAAGCTCCGCCGCTGGCCCCGGGGGCATCTCCCCCAGCCTGGGAGCCGGCCCCGGGAGCCTGGACTCCCAGAAGACGCTGTCTCCGGGAGCTATTTTCGCTCCGCGTGACTCACGCGGGTGTAGGTTCTAATTTGAGATGTGGGGGCGGACGCCGCTGCACTTGCTTGTCTCCGTGTCGGCCTCTCCCGGCGTCAGAGCCGAGCGTTGTGTCCCCAGCTGGGCACATCTGTCCGGCCAGGAATAGACCGGCCTGGGCCTTAAAGAGGAAGGCGGCTCCAGATGGCGGCGGTCCCGGCCTGGCTGAGGCCCTGTGGGGCTGCGCTCGCAAAGGGCAGACTAAGACCAGCCCCTCCCCGCTGGCGGTCCGGACGGGAGCCCGCGATCTGCTGACCCGCGGCCAGCGGAGGCGAGAAGCAATTCCGGGCGCTGTTTGTTTTCTAGTTTTAACCCAGTGGGCGGGAGCCCGGAGGGGGCTTTGCTGCGAGCCCACTGGGCCGTTGGCACTGCCTTCTGGAGGGGAGGGGGGGCGGCCTGACGGCTGAGGGGCGGCGTCCAGCTCATGGGTCCCTGCAAGGCCAAGGGCTGGGGCGGGGGAGGGTGTTCCCGGAACTGGGGGCCCTCCATGCTCTTCTCCCAGATTTGGACACGAGCCGCCCTCCCCTGTCCGGATCGCACCCCACCTGGGGGCCTACTCTGACCCAGCAGAACCACGAACGGCCGACAGCTCCTGCCAGCAGCCCCTGCCCCCATCCCTCTGTTTAAAGGTGGACGGCTGGGGGGGTCAGGGCCAGGTTCCCGGGTGTGACCCCGCGAGGCGGACGGCCCCGAGTGTGGTTTCACGCTCTGCTGCCGCCTCACGATTCCCAGCTCTCTTTGAACAGCACCCTCCGTTTGCCCTTGGTGCTGGGCCCCCCGGATGATGTCCGGCCCGGCCTCCAGCCTCCGCGGGCTGGCCCTGCGTCAGAGGGACCTGTCGGATATCTCTCTTCAGCATTTCAAACTCTGATTTCAAAACAGCCAGACTCGTGGGCCCCCGGAGCCAGCCCAGGTGCCATCTGCTCCCCCGGAATAGCAAGCAGTAAAAATACACCATTTGAAATAGTCGCTCCCAATTTGGGAGGACGATCTGGCAGCCTCCGCTCCGCGAGTGCTAATTGATTTGTTTTCTTTGCTCCAATAATCCTTTCCTCGTCAGTGCCTTCTTCTTCCCGTCTTCCTGGCGTACTCTCCCCTCCAAGACCAAAACAGCCTCGTGCACGCTGCGGGGCCCCGGCCAGCACCGCTTCCACCGTCCTTTCTCCCCGCTTCTCAGTGTCCCTGTTACCGGGGTCGGGGCCCTAACCGGGGCCGTGATGCAGCAGTGACCCCGACCCAGAGCCCGTAGTCTGTGTGGACTGGCACCGACACCGTTATGGGAACACAGTGTCTGCCCGGTGCCAGCCCTGTGCCCTGCTGTGATGTGACAGTGACAGACATGGGCAGCTCCTGGCTTTGAGGGAAAGACAGACTTGCAGTGAGAACACTGGGACCCCGGGATTGGAGCTAGTGAATGCACAGATGCTCGGAAAGGGCAGAGGAGGGCTTAGAAGAACTCGGTTAGAGGATGTGTATCAGGGAGGGCTTCCTGGAGGAGGTAACCTCTGAAAGGCACCTTGGTGGATGAGGAGGTGGTGGGCAAGCAGATGAAAGGGGAAGGAGGTCCCATTCTAGAAACAGACTAAACTCACACTGGGGGCACTTGCAAAGCAGGGACCCCCCAAAATAAATGAGAGACATTTATTTTGGTTGAAGTGGCCCAAAGGTTGGTCTCAGAAAGTTGCGAAGGAGCTACTTAATTGTATCACACATGGCAAATGTGTCATCTTGAAGTTTTAGAGTTTGATTCTGAGCTGGAGGGCTGGGCCTGTCTTGCTCCCTCCCTGCTTTCCAGCCAGAGGACACGATCGTGCAGAGGCTGTCGGGAGGCAACACGCCAGGCGTTTGCTGTGGCTGATGCAGGGGAGGGGGCATGGGAGAGAGGGCCGAAGGGGCGGGGCAGGACCCACACCTCCTGCCTCTGGTCATGCTGACCTCTGCCTGAAGCGCTCTCCCCTGCGGCTACCAACTAGATTTCCACCCATGTCCACTTCTAGGCTCATGGGGTGTCATCTCCTCCGGGAAGCCCTCCTTTTTGCGCTGCAGCTGGGTGCTGTCTCCCCCTACTCAGCTCCCACAGCCCTGTGCAGACCTAAATCCTGGCCTAACCTTGTGGTTTAGGCAACTGCGGAAGGACCAGCGGCCCAGTGGGCGAGCCTCCTCTGGAGTGTGAAGCGCTGAGTGGTGAAGAGGAATAAGTGAATCCGTTTTATTATGACTTCCGCTCTCTTGGCAACTTAACTCTTCTTAGGAGCGTTTTCCTCCCAAGGAGAAAAAGCAAACAATTTCCTCGGGAGTCAAAACGAGAGGCCTTGCTCACCCTCGAGTGCCCATGTCCCTGCATCGTCGGGCTGGGATGACTGGCAGCCCCACGCGGCCGGGCAGAAGCTGGAGGCATGAGGGGTCCCTGCGCGGGGCCAGCAGGCACTTGGCTGCGTCCTGGCAGGTTCTGGAAACTCACTGAGAGAAGCACTTTGGTGAGGGCATTTTGGGCTTCCCAGTCCAGGGCCGCGAGGGAGCCGGGGCGAGGGGGCTGCCCGGGAGGGGCCCGGGGAGGAGCTCAGAGCTGCTGCACGTTGATGGCCTCGCTGCAGCCGCGACCTCATGCGGAGCCTGTGCCCGACGGCATGTTCCTCGTGGCCAGGGGAGCCAGGCGCCCTGCAGAGCGCTCAGGGTGGAGGGTGACGGGCAGCGTCCAGGGGGCACAGGGGCCGGGGAGGAGAGCCCAGTGGCCAGAGTGGAGCCACTGCTCAGCAAAATAGCAAAATAGAAAAAAAAAAAAAAACCACAACAAAATAGTATTGAATGACAACTCGGAGCATAAATAAATATTCATGAGTTTGTAGTGATATAAATAAATGATTAAATAAGTAAATAAATGGGGAGAGACGACACATCTCCCAAGCGGAAGGACCCCCCCGGGCCTCAGTCTCCCTCGGAGGGGATGGGCTTCCAGGCCGAGGGGGCCGCGCACGAGCTGTCCTCTCCACACGGCGGGTGGGGGAGGGACAGCGATGGCCTGGCCCGTCAGGGAGTCGGCAATGCAAGGTCACGATAGCTTGCACGCCTGATAGCATGCACCCGATAGTGTGCACCCCAATAGTGTGCACCCCAATAATGTGCACTCCGATGGTGTGCGCCCCGATAGTGTGCGCCCCAATAGGGTGCACCCTGATAGGGTGTGCCCCTGGGGCACATGCTGGAGGCAGCAGGACACCCTGTGCTCTGCCCCCCTAAAGACCGAGGTGACCTCAGTGTCACCAAGAGAAAAACCTCAAACAGACACCGAGCAGCAGCTGCGTGTCCCCCCCCCGACCCCGCAGGCCATGAGAAGCCAGGGGTGCCTGAGACGCCGTCGCAGGCAGTGGAGTCTGGGGAGACATGACACATCCGGGGCGCCGGGAACAGGCGCTCTGTCAGCGGGAACAGGACATCTGAGCCGAGAGTGGGGCGAGGGATGCCGTTTGTGACATTGGTCCCTTGGGGGGTCCGGGGGATCCGGGGGAAGCTGGGAGCGCGGGGGACCTTCTGCACCAGCGCTGCTGATTTCCATAAACCTAAGACTTGTCAAGGATGCCAAGTCCACTCCACATCAAGGAGCACAGGGCCAGAGCCCGCCGCCGTTAGCATCCTTGGCGTGTCCGCCCGCGTGTTTGCTCGTCTGACATCTTTCTGATCTCTCGTCAAAATGACACTTACTCTCCACGGACGAAATAATACTTATTTTAGCCGCTTCGCACTGACAAGACTGTAATCACCGCGGGGGACGCCAGCCGGGCAGGCTCACGCTCGGTCCTGCGTCTTGGCCCTCGCCTTCGCGCTGGGCACCGCGTCTGCCCACCTGAGGGGAACGGCGCCCCGGCTGCCCTGAACGTCCGCGCGGGCCGCGTCTCAGGGCCCAGGATGCGCAGGGGAGCAGTGGAGAGCCGGGGCCTCCCTGGGGCCAGGACGCGCAGCTGCTCCTGTGCAGCCCCGCACCCCGCAGCGCACGCCCCCAATAATAGCACACTCTCGAAGGGCTGCGTGCCCGGGGCCCTCATGACGATGACCACACACTGGGGTCCACACAGCAAAATCTTCCCCTCAGCCCACAGGCCAGACATCAAGGAGAGGCAGGGCAGGTGGGACCCGCCGGGGTGACCTCAGGCACCTGCTGCCGCCTCCTGCCGGCCTCTGCTCCGTGTCCATGCGCCTTCTCCCCGTGTCTCCGTCCTCCCTCTGGCGGGGACACCCGTCACAGGATGTAGGGCCCACCCTACGTGCAAGAGGCTGTCCCCGAGATGGCTAACAATTCCCTCCGCAGAGACCCTGTTCCCAAGTAGGAGCACCCAGACATGGGTCTCGTCTGGGGGACACTGTCCAGCCCCTGCATGTCCTCTAAGGCCCTATAGAGCCCGACCCTCTCTCCTCTCCAGACCCGTCTCCCCCTCAGCCGCCTCGAGTCTGGAGGCGTGAGGGGAGCTGGCGCCCTCTGTCCATACTCACCCCACCTGCTGCAGCCTCTCCTTCTGAAGAAAGAGCCCCACCTACCCCATTGTCCTGCTGGTTCCTTGGGGCACCAGCTGCCCCTGAAACAACGTGGGGCACAATTGTTGGTGTTTGGACCTGCTCCGCGGCAGCAGAGACCTCGAGCCCCAAGTCTCTGCAGAGGCGGGACGTCGGGACCGTGCTGGGCCGGGGCTCCTGTGAATGTCGATGGAGCGTGTGGTGAGCGAGTGGCCGGTGACTGGCTGGCCCGTGGCCGGCTCGGGCTGGCGTCCTGCAGCCCGCCGGCCGTGCTCGGGCCATGTCATCTGTCCGGCTGTTTCAGATCATCCTGGTGAGCTCCTCGCTCGGCGACAGGGACCAGAGCCTGTTCCTCAGCACTGACGAGGGCGCCAGCTTCCAGAAGCAGCCCGTCCCCTTCACCGTGGACGCGCTGATCTTCCACCCCAAGGAGGAGGACAAGGTCCTGGCCTGCACCAAGGAGAGCAAGGTGGGCGCGGGGCCGGCTGCTGCCTGGGGGAACATCGCCAGGAAACGAAGTCTCATCCTGTGGGGCCCTGACACCCTCGGCTGGCCGGGGTGGATCAAGGAAGGACGGGGGGCGTAGAGGAGGGGGTGCATGGGTCGGGGGCGTGGGGAGCATGGTGGTGGGGCCAGGTGGATAAATGGACGCATGGCAGTGGGTTGGATGAGTGAGTTTCGCCAACAGGGATCGCCCAGGTCAGGGACCGCCAGCGGAGACTCCCTGCTGGCCCAAGGCACGACTGTCCACAGGGCCGGCCTCCCGGTCAAGGTCCTCCCTGGCGAAGCCCAGCTGGTCTGGTCCTCGCTGACAAACGTCTCTGAATTTCCCTGGCCCGGGGGCTGCCTCTCTGCCCGGTGCCGCCCCCAGCCCCGCCGCGTGCGCCCCGGGTGTTAACGGCGCTACTTAGCCTTCCACGTCATTAGACTAAAGCACAATCACAGAGACTTATTTTCCTGCAGAACTGGCTGCATTGCACTTGCTCTTTAATTTATGGTGCCCTGAAAAATTAATGGAGCTGAAATCTCTGCTATTTTCCTTGGTTCTTTCTGTGGCTGGAAGGAAAGAGGAGAAAAGGGCTTGGTTCTGGCTGCGAGGGGAGGGGAGTTCCAGGAGATTAAGAACAGTGGCCGTGGGGTTTAGTCTCTTAGGGCTGTGTGGTTTTCCACGCTGCCTCCGGCTCCTGGCGCAGGGCGGCTTTGGGGTCCCCGGGCCTGGGGGTCGGCCGCACCTGCCGCTGGCGTCACATAGCCCGGCCCCTCCCATGTGGCCAGCATGCTGGCTCGGCCTCTGCCAGGCTCTGTGGGGGGCTGGCCATGGCCCCCAGCCCCTGTGGGGTTCCGCTCTCCCACGCCTCTCCCTCCGGGACCATGGTTACTTGGGGGACAAGTTCTCTCAGTCGGGGGTGGGGCGGCTCCAGGTGGCAGAACCAGCCACACCGCGACTGTGCCCACCTGGGCCTGGCAGGTGTCTCCCACTCACCTCACTGGGCGAAGCAAGCCTGGTGCCCCCGAGTCAGGGCGCAGCCTCACTCAGGAGCACGGGCAGCAGGCACGTGCAGACCTGTTAAGCAGCGGGGCAAACCCTGGCCTTCCTCCCGCGGCCGTCCCCACCGCCTGGTGCTTTGAAGGGCTCTTTGATGCCACCTTGCACGGGCCTCCTGCTGGGTCCTGCCTCCTGACTTGGGGCCCCGAGTGCCCACGTCTGACCCTCTGGTCCCAGGCCCAGACCAGCTAGGGGCAGGGACAGCTGCTGGGAGGGGGACAGTCCACTGTGATGTCCTGGGAGGTAGCAGGAGATAGGACACGTGGGCCCAGGCGGCAGCCCCCCACAAGCTCATGGGCCCACGGGGCTTCACAGATCTGGTGACTGACCGTGGGGGACTCAGCAGCCTTCAGGGCTCGTGAGCACAGCGATGCCTCCCACCCGCCCGTGCAGCCCCTCGCTGGCGCGTCCACCCCACCTGGGGCGGCAGGTCCTCCCGGCCTCACGCTCACACCCTTCCTCCCAGAGGCCGGCCTGGCCAGTGTCTCGGCCCCCCAGCCGGCTGTTCTGGAGCCTCCTACCTGACCTTCAGCCCCGCGGGGCTGGCCAGTCCCCCTGCGAGCACAGGGCCTGGCCCCGGGGGTCCTCGCCGGGTCTCCCTGGGCGTCCACCTTGGAGGGGAGGCTGCTCCTCGCAGGAGGACCCACCGTCTGTCTGTCCTTCTGCCCTAAAGCTCTACGTGTCAACGGACCTGGGGAAGAAGTGGACACTCCTGCAGGAGCGCGTGACCAAGGACCACGTGTTCTGGTGAGCGCAGGGCAGGGAGCCCCCCAGCTCCCCTCCCACCCCCCGCCGCAGGTCCTGCCGCCTCTGCCCGCCCAGGCGGCTCCTCGCCGGGGCTGACGGGGCCGCGGCCGGAACCGTGAGCGAGCGGGGGCTCCTGGGAGAGGGAACAACATCCGCCTTTATTCAGAAAAGAGAAAAATGTCAGGCCGAGACCTCCCGTGGGCGCCCACACGCGGGCTACTCACAAAAGGCTAAATCAGCGCCTCACCTTGGAGTGGACACTGCCTGGCCAGTGGCTGGTGCTGGGCCAGGAGGGGCAGCGGGAGGGGAAGGAGGGCGCTCGGCCACCCACCCGGCCTCGCCCAGACCCCCTGTGGACATGCCTGGGGGCCGCAGGCCGGGCGAGGGGCAGCTTGAGAGAGGAGGGGCCAGCTCTGGGCTGGGGGGCCCGGGCAGGGTGCCCCACGGGGTCCTGGGACACTGGCCAGGCACCAAGGGACGTCGGGAAGTGACCTCTGAGTCCCGACCCCAGTTTGCTGTCAGCAGAGTGAGATGCTGGACCAGGCGGTGCCCGGGCTGGTTGGTGGGTGGGCTGGGGGCTGCCGCGGAGAACAGACCCCTCCAAGGGTGCTCAGTGATGAGGCGAGGCTGGGGGCACAGGGTGAGGGACCCTGACCAGGTGAAACCCCTTTGGCTACTCCCAGCTCCGCGCCCTTGGCCAAGTCCTTTGCTCCCTGAGCCTCGCCTTCCTAGCCGCAGAGTGAGAGCCCCTAGCACCCTGCCCCCCGGGCCATCTGGGTGATAAAAAAAGAAATCACAGCGAGCAAGAGCACCCCCAGGACGCGAGGCAGCAGGCGCGCTGCGCCAGCCCCCTCCCAGGAGCCCTGGCGCTCGGGAAGGACGTGACCGTAGGCCGAGGGCGGGAGTGACCTTTGTCCCCACACGGCGGTGGGTGGATGCCGGGACCCCAACACCAACCTCCACCCCTTCTCTTGCAGGGCTGTTTCTGGGGTCGATGCGGACCCCAACTTGGTCCACATGGAAGCCCAGGACCTGGGAGGAGGTAAGTGCTGGGGTCCCTCCCGGAGAGGGGTGTGTGGGCGGTGGGGGGCCCCAGAAAGTCCGGCACCACACCCAGGGCCCCTGCACATTCCAGAGGGGGTCGCCGCTGTTTGCTGGACTGGACATTCCCAGCCTGGTCGCCGCCGTCTCTGCTGCGCGTGGACCTGGTGGGCGGTGGGCGGTGGCCGGCGTGTCCAGCAGACACGTGACCAGCAGCGCAGCCCGGCCTCAGCCTCCGTGGGCTGTAAGTCGGGACCTCCAGCGCTGTGGCACACCCCACTTGGCAGCAGGCCACGGTGTGACCACACAGACAGCCCCCAGCGCCCGCGGGGTGTGGGGTGCTCGGCTCTGGGGCCAGTGCTGCAGGCCCCTGCGGGTGGGTCTGAGCACGCAGGCCGCTCACGGCGCTCCCGTCTGCAGGCGTCCGCTACCTCACCTGCCCAGCCCACAACTGCTCCGATAGGACGCTGGCAGCCCCGGCCACGGGCCCCCTCGACCAGGGCTCGCTGACCGTGCAGGACGATTACGTCTTCTTTAAGGTAGGCTGCTCGGGCTGGGGCTGGCCGCGGCGCCGGCTCTGACCCCGGCTCTGACCCCCGTGGAGCCAGCACACGACCTTGGTGCTGACTGCGGTCTCCCCACAGGCCCCACAAAGCCAGAACCTTGACTTATCCACCTCTGCCCAGCAGGAACCCCCAAAGTTCGGGGGCCCCAAGCCCATTTGGGTGACTTCAGAATGGCCCAGGCCGCTGTCGGTGCCCTTGGCCACAGGCACCACTGTGCCCCCAAGGCCCGCACCCTGCCGTGGACAGGCGGGCCCTGCCTCCTCCCGCCCGCCGGCCAGGGGCTCGCCCCTTCCAACAGCACCCCCGCACCCCATCATCACCAAGTCAGCACAGGAGGAGGCCCCCCAATTCTCCCCTGTGGGACCTCCCCACCCAGCCAAAGGCTCCCACAGAGGCTCTTGAGGACACACTGGGTTGCCCCCCACAAGGCCCTCTGTGCCCCCAGGGAGCTTGGGGGCTTCACACACCCCATAGAGCAGGCCAGGCAGGGCAGCCAGACCCTCGCACTGTCCTCTGCAGACCCCGCCTGGGGCTTCAGGCTGTCTGAGCCGCACAGTGGTCCTGCATCCGGGTGCCCTGCCTCGGGGACCCTGCCCGCGCTGAGCCTCAGCCACCTGCCCCTCCTCCGGGAGCCTCACGCCTGCCTCCCCCCAGGCCAGCTGGCAGCCTCGGGTCCAGCCTAGCCCCATGCGTCCTCGGGCCCAGCCAAGGCCACGCTCATCCCTGCAGCTAGCACCAGGCCCGGGGGGGTGGGGGAGAGAAGGGCGGCTCTCAGCCTCTGCCCCTCATGCAGCGCTCACCCGTTTCTGCAGGCCCCGCTGCTTGCCGAGAGAGGTGGCAGCTTCTGCGGCAGCCTCGGCCCACGCGAGGGCTTTCCCAGCGTATGGCGTCCTGCTGCTCCCCAGCCCGCCGCCCGGGCCCTGTGTCTGGACGGGGCTGTTCTGGCGCAGTGAGGGAGAGGCCACGGGGAGCTTGGGGGTGCTTGGATGGGGGTGCCAGACAGGCCTGGCTTGCGGGTGACCCAGAGGTCCAGGAGCCCTCAGGAAGCAGCTCGAGCTGTGATCGGACACCTGGCAAACCCCATCCGGAAGGGGGCGTTGAGCGGGGGCTGAGCCGTGCCTGGCGGCCAGCCGTGCCTCCAGCCCAGCTGGAGCGTGGTGTGCTCCTGTCTGGGCGACTGTGGGTGTCAGGCTCTTGACTGCACCCCTTGTGGTCAGCCGTCAGGGTGGGGAACAGGAGGACGCCTGGCCCCCGCCTTGAGTTCCTGAGAGTCCAGCCACAGCCAGGCCAGCACACGGCACCCACCCGGGGTCAGCCTCGTGTGTGTCCAGCTGTTCCTTGTGAGGCCTCGTGGCGCCACGTGGCCAGCCTCGGGAAAGCCATCTCTTGTTTCCCCACCCTGTGGCCGGCAGACATCTGCCGTGGCTGGAGCTTCCCTGGGGACGTTTTTTTCCTCCGCCCAGTGGCTTCCCACGTGCTCTCCCGACAAGAGGGGGTGCAGGGGAGCCAAGTGCTGAGAGGGCACGGGGAAGGGTGCTGGTGCTCACTGGTGGAGGTGGAGGAAGTCTTCCCAGAGGAGGGGCTTTTAGTCTGGGACTTTGCAGGGTGAATAGGAGTCTGTGCCTTTCAGGCAGAGCAAGAAGAAGCAAAGGAGAAGGGCACTTTCCCGGGCTGCGTTTAACGCTAGTGTTTCATTCATGAGGCTCTGGCTTGGGCGGCGAGCCAAGCCCTAAGGACCTGTCTCCTCCCTCCTGCTAGTCATCCTCCGCGAACCGGACCAAGTACTACGTCTCCTATCGTCGCAACGAGTTTGTTCTGATGAAGCTGCCCAAGTATGCGCTGCCAAAGGTAAGATGGAGTCCCAGCCCCGCCGGTGGCCCGTCCCGAGCTCCCCTGATCGTGCGCTGTGGGGTTCCTGCTCGGCGCTCCCCGGTCGCCAGGTCAGGAGTCAAGAGCATGAGCAGTGCCACTTCCAACCGCTCTCCAGGCCCTCGCCCCCGCCTCCAGGTGCCCAGCTTAGCCCAGGCCAAGGCCCCTGCCCCGCCCTCCCCATGCCCTGCTGTCCCCGCCGCCCAGTGCCCTTCCCAGAGCGCTGGCCCCCGTATTATTCGCACGGTTCTCATTCGTGACCCTCTGGACTGGCCCATCCTCAGCTCCTGCCCACATCCCATCCGTCCTGCCTGGAGTTACACCGGCAGGGGCTGACGTGCTCCCTCTGCCGTCCAGCTGCTCGTGTGGCTCTGAGTGGGCGGTGCTCCATGATGCCCCTTCCGTCCCCTGGCCCAGGAGGGCACCCCGGGGGCCGCCCCACCAGGGCTGCAGCACTGGACACCATGGTCCCCTCCATGCTGGCTGGTAGTCCAGCAGGTGACTGACATTCAGAAGGAGGGGCCCCTCCGCGGTCACGCTGCCTGCACGGAGTCGGGGCAGGCCTCACACCGAGGTGCCGGCGAGCCTGAGGCCGGCCTGGGGCCTGCGGCTGCCCGAGGGCAGAGATGCCCTGCAGACAAGCAGCCCTGCCTGCCTTGCCTTCAAGGGAAAGCACACTTCCCAAGCAGCAGACGTGCTCCAGGAACTACTCCCGGGCAGGGAGTGGGCACCCCGGGGCCCCCAAACCTGCCCGCTCTGAATAGGACCTGCTGTCCCCCGCGTCGAGACAGAACACGCTCCAGCGCCCGAGCCCGTCGACGGGAAGGAGCTTCGGCGCCCGCAGTGCGCGGGAAGAGGCGCAGAATACAGGTTCCAGATCAAGCTCCCGAGTCACCCGCCCCCCCTTGGGTAAATGCCCAGCCAAGCACCGAGGCCCGAAAACCTGCCACGCGTCTCAGGCACCTCCTGGTGGGGACCCCTGGGAAGGGGCAGACGGGCCCAGCGCGTCTGGGGCGGAAGGAGCAGAATCGGAATCCAGATCGATGTGGCCGCTCTCACTTCCCCGCAGGACCCGAGGCCAGCGCGGCTTCTCCACCCATCTCTGCCCCGCCTCCTCCAGGCTCCTCCTTCCTTCCTCCTCGGGTCTCCTCCCGCTTCCCCTCCTCCCTGCTCAGCTCCACCGCCCTTGGGTGGGGCAGGGAGCCTGCAGTCTCCCCGGCCCCGGCCCCGTTACAGAACGGCTGCAGCAGATGTGAACCAGACGCCCAGTCCCTGCTCTTGTGAGGTTTTCAGAAAGGAAACGGGCAGAAAACCAGGAAGACAAGCGTGTGAAATGGCGCGGGCCGTGGTGTGCGCCATGGAGGGGGAGGCAGGGGCTGAGGGTGCCTGGGCTGGGGCCTGCGCTTGCCTGGAGTTGTTCAGGCAGAGGCAGTGTCTGTGCAAAGGTCCTGGGGCAGGAGCGAGCCTGCGGGTATGGGACGGAGAGGGCCCGGGGAGAGAGGAGAGAGGCTCCAGGCCTCCAAGCAGGGGCTGAGCAGCTGTCGGGTCCTGGAGGGCCCAAGCTGCCGCCCGGCACCCAACCCTGGTGCCCTGGAACCAGACAAGGAAACACGTGAGGCCCTTCCCAACCTTCCTCTTAAAGGAGAAAAAGAAAAAAAATGGAGCGGCGTGGGAAGGGCGGGCGCGAGCATCGTGGATTAACTCCCGGCGTGGCTGAGCGTGGGGTAAGGGCTGCTCGTCTCATCTGGGGCGGAGGCAGCTGCCCTGGGCTAGGGCCGCGTCCGCTGCGGGGAGGCCTCTGCCACCCCAAGCCTGCAGCCTTAGAAGTGTGTGGGCCTGGGGTGGGGAGGGGGCGCACTCCTGGGAGGACACCCGTGTTCCCTGCCCCTCGGTGCAATGCGAGGCAGTGCTGCCCTCTGGGGCACAGGAGGCAGCCCAGCTGCCAGGCCATTCTGGAGGGTGTCGTCTTGGGAGCCCAGAGCCACAGCGAGGGGCGCCTGGGACCTTGCACGTGGGCTGCACCCCCCGGGCCTGCACCTCGGAGCCGTGCGGGGTCTGCAGGAGATCCGCGGCCTGTGACCAGCTCTCGCCCTCGGGGGCGCCCCTGCCGGGCCCGACTCCCCGCTGCTGAGGAGCGGAGCATCCTTGAAAGGAGTGTGAGGTCCGAGAGAAAGGGGCCACGTGGGACGGTGCACCCAGGCCCTCGTGTGGTCCAGCTACAAGGGAAAACCAGACCCCCGTGCAGGGGCGGGCGCTGAGGACAGAGGGCCGGGCCACGAGGGGCGACACCTCGTCCTCCCGATTTTGTCCACCCCCAGCTGAGCCCCGCGGCCCCCGCGGAGGACTGGCGGATGGCGCTTCCTGGTCAGATTTTGTTGTTTTATGGTGAATTTGCAACTCTTGCCGGCTTGCGCCCCCGGACCGCCCCATTTTTTCACATCGCCTGAGGTGCATGGAAACAATAGACATGGGGGCCCCCACCAGCCTCCCGCCTTCCCCAGAGCCTGCTGGGTTTGCCTCGGGTCCTTGCCAGTCCCAGCAGGCGCCCGCCTGCACCCTGAGACCTTTCCAGATTGCCCTGGCGCCCACTGACACGGCCAGGGACTTGCTCTCGCGGGACCGTGCTGGGGCCTGCAGGCCCCGCGGTCAGCACGCTCAGCTGCGTCCTCTCTCCTGAGCACGGACAGGGGCAGCGCTGCGGCGGGTCTGCTCGCGCCTGCAGGGGAGCTTGGCCGTGGGCCCTAAGCGCTGGGGCAGCTCAGCGTCTTCCCGCCGAGCAACCGGAAAGGGAGGCCTGGCGGGGTTCGGGGGCGCCGCGCCGCCTCCTGTTTCCCGCCTCTGGAAGGCGCCGGCGCCGCCCTGCTCTTTTCATCCACCTGTGAAGACTGTCGGGGTGAAAGGTTTTCCTTTGGTCGCCAACATCCTTTGCTTCAACCGTTTCGTTGTAATGATTTGGAAAGATACTTCTGTTCCCTTCAGAAAAGGCAAAAGCTCTCAGCGGACAAAAGAGGAGGAAAATCCAAACAGCTTCCAATTATACAAAAACATCCAGAAGAATAAAATAAATGCAAATCTACCTTAAAGTAAGACATTGCCTTGTCTACCATCGATTTACGTAAAGTTAGAAGGAAATCCGTCCACGTGAGGATGAAGACGGGCGTGACGTCTGGAAGATGGCGGCCAGGCGGCCCCGGGAGCCTGACTCCCATCTAAACAGCAATCACAGGGCAGAGGCTGCCTGACGTGCCTATTTGGGACTCTGGAGGAATTTTCCAGGGGGTCTTGGGCAGAAGTTCAAGGTAAATTTCCACAGTTCTAGCTCTTGCCATGGCGGCAGCCACCCCCGCCCCGCCCGGGGCCTCCGGCTGTGTGCGTGCTCGCGAAGCCGCTTGCAGACAGCGGGAGCCGGGGCGAGCCCAGGACCTGCCCTCCAGATACCGAGGCCTGTGCCCTCATGGGGGTCGCGGCCTCCATCCTGGAGGAGCTGACCGCAGGGCGTGGGTGGTGGTTCCTACTCTCTCCACCGACAGGGCAACCTCCCGGGGCCTCGCAGGGCCAGAGTCTGCTCCCCGCTCGCCTTGGTTTTCCTGTTTCCCCCTTTTGAGAACCAGACACTGAGGACACTCAAAAGTTTTAGGGGCCACCGTGCGCGCCCACGGGAAGCAGCAGGCTCAGCACACGCCGAGGAGACCCGAGGCCAGCAGCAGGCTTCGCCCGGCACAGAGGCAACAACCAAACATTGTAAACAACCAAAGCCCAGAGGAGGGGAGGCGCCACTTTCCAGAAGACGATGCGATCCGAATGTCCCGTTTCAACAACACAGATCGCAGGGAGCGCAGAGGACGCGGGAGCCTTCCAGGGGGCGCGATGCCTCCACCCGGCGTGTCCGGGGCGGGCGCCAGGCCCCCGGGGCGGGGCTCAGCACAGCAGCTCCAGAGACACTGGGTGACCCGGGAGAAGGAGACGGGAGCTGAAACGAGCACTGCGGAGATGAGAAGTCACCAGGAGGACTCAAAAGGAGATCTGAAGAAACAGAAGAAACGATCAGTGACATTGACGTCAGGATAACTGAATCCCTGAGTCCGGGGACACGGGTGGAGGAAAAGAGGCCGCTCCCGAGGGGCCCGCGGGACACCGCCACGTGGACCATCGTGTGCGCGACGGGAGTCCCGGAGGGAGAGGGGGAGCCGCGACCGCGAGGGCAGGGACCCGCCCAGAGCCCACGGAAGACACGGATGCGGTGGCGCCGGTGCTGCGAACTCCAAGGAGCCCGGAAACACGGAGCTGGGCGCCCACGCCTGCGTCCAGCGGGCGGAACCGGGGCCCCCGCAGCCAGCGGCAGACGCGCCTCCCGCGGGGGCGGAGCGCGTTTCTCCTCAGCGGCGGGGGCCAGCAGCCAGGGGGCTGAAAGGGCCAAGTGCCCAGAGGGTCTAACGAAAACGATGGTTTATCGGGCTCATCCGTGACGACTTTGTAAAGATCGAGGGGGCGATTTCCCCATCATGATTATTAAAAACACGTTTACGTTTTCCCAAATCACTCCTTTAAAATGCGTTCCCCACAACTAAAGGGATAGTAGCACATAGATGCGCATACTACACGCGTGTGCGTCCAGCGTGGCGGCACATGTGATGGCGGGTACATTCGTCTGCACTAGGTGCCGGCACATGCATCGACAGGTGCCTGTCCCCCGGCCGCTTCTCCCTCCCTCCTTACAAACGGCCTCGCTTCCGCACCCTCGAGTAGCTGCTGTAGAAACTCGAGGAAACCTCCGGTATCGATGCTGCCCCTTTATGTTAGTTCAACAAACCCCAAGTTTCAAAGGTATGTTGCTTGCCAGCAAGGAGGCTCCATCTCCCGCTAACCTAGCAGCCCTCTGTGCCGTGTTCCTGAGGTCTGGCCCAGGAGGTGTAAGTGAAGTGGAGACTGTCCTGTAAAGGCAAGCCTTTTGGTCTTTGCCTTCCTTCTTCCTGCTGTCTTGCAGGTTAATGTGATGGCTGGCGCCCTAGCAGCCACCTTGGGCCCTGAGGACAAGGGCCATAGCAGGAGAGTGGAATGGGGAGCCGGGAGGAGCCTTGTCCCTGGCGACTTTGTAGGGGCTGTCTGCTTCTGCACTTCTCTGACATACGGGAGAAAGGACTTCCGTCTCGTTTAAGTCACTTTCCCCCAAATTCTGTTTATTGCAATCAGACTTAATTCTATCTGGCAACAACGACTGGTCACCGTGGCGGGTCCTTCCACGCATTTCCCATTGATACATATACACGCAAACTTGTGGACGCACATGACATTGTTTTTCGTGTCCTTTGTTTTAAAGTGGAGTCAAAAATGTCTCTGCTTCTAACTTTTCATCTTAAGAAAAAATAGCACAAATGCAAATTTGAGCAAAAATCGCATGTTATTTATCACACTCTAGTTAGTCGGGGTCTTCAAAGGGCCGGCCAGCACTGGTCCTTGGGACAGGACACACGCGCCTGCGCTCGGAAGGGAATCGGCCCTCCGCACGGCCACGGAGCCGCATCAGCAAGAGCTTTGCGGACGTCCCTGCACTTAGGCCGCGAGTCGCTGCTTAAAATTTATGTTAAGGACGCAGAGAGCAGAGACTCCAGCACGCCAGCAGGGAGGCGATTCGGGACATCCAGCGCGGCCTGCAAAACGGAGTATCGCGCAGTCGCTGAAAGTGGTGTTTAGCCACGAGCCTCATGGCAGAGGAGACTGGCCCAGGCCCGTGGCAGTGCCGGCGGCCAGCCACGCCCGCGAAGACACGACTCGCGCTGGGGCAAAGCCCTGACGTGAACTTGAAATGTTAACATCACGTCTCTGGGGAGGTGATTATAGCAACACGGAGCCGTTCTGCCCTTCCCTTATTTCCCAGACGGCAGTAAACGCATTTGCCCACCTTATGCAAACATTTGCCCAGAAACATTCATTAATCTGAATTAGCGCGATAGCAGGAATCGCTGTCCAGGGACCTGGACACAGGTGTAAACGCGGCAGCCTCACCTCACCTGTGATGCTCGCCGGCCGCCCCGCCGGGCCCGAGCAGGGGCCAGGGCTCGCCTCCCAGGCGCGGCTGGGCCTGAGGCTGAGCGGAGAAGCAGGGGGAAGGAAGAGGAGGGAGAAGGCCGGGCTCGCCCTCGGGTGCCCGCCACTCTGTTGCCCCACTGGGCACCCCTGCTGTGTGGGGAGCGGGGCCCTGTCCGCCCCCCGCTGCTGCCCCACCCTGTGGGGGCTTGGCGGCTGGGAGTCCTGGGGCCCCCACCTCAGGGTGCTCAGGAGCTCGGGACAGCTCGCGGCCAGCTGGTGAGGAGGTCCTGGGACTTGTGGCGGGTGGTTCATCCTCCCTGCTGGGGACGAGACCACCAAGGCTCCCCAGGCTGGGCCCCGAGCTGGCATGGGCGGCGCCCCACAAGTCACAGACTTGCCTGTCACAATCTGGGGTGCACGGAGGAACAACTCCCCTGTGTGCAGCAGGCTCACGAGGCGGACAGCCTGACCTGGAGCACGGACGGTCAGGCCCTGAGCCCACCCGGGCCAGGACCTCCACAGCCAGCACGGGGGGCGGAACACCCCCACACCCTTGGGGCAGGGAAACTGAGGCCCAGGGAGCTCAAGGGACTTGTCAGGCAGACAGCACAGCAGGGGTCTGGGGCAGCCCCGTCGCCTGGCCCCACCCATGCTGACCCACGCTGTCCCCAGGACCTGCAGGTCATCAGCACAGACGAGAGCCAGGTGTTCGTGGCGGTGCAGGAGTGGCATCAGACGGACACCTACAACCTGTACCAGTCGGACCCGCGGGGCGAGCGCTACTCGCTGGCGCTGGAGAACGTGCGCAGCTCGCGGCAGGCGGAGGAGAGCGTGGTCATCGACATCCTGGAGGTGCGCCCCTCACCCCTGCCTGCCCTCGCTGGCCTCCCTCACCGGGGCCTGTCCTGGGGGTCGGGCCTGGCTCTCCTGGGAGCCTCCCCAGCGGCAGGGCAAGGCTCTGGTGGGGCTCTTGGCTCCCACCCACAATGTCACCCCCATGGGGAGCGCCCACCCGCCTCCGTCTGTATTTGGGCTCCGCAAACGCCCGTCACATGCCCCCGCAGCCCAGCCTTTCCCTGTCACCTGCTCTGCTCCGCCACCCCAGAGCTGGGGCCCCACGCACCCTCTGGGGCGAAGGACCTGAGGGCGGGTCAGCCACCCGCCTGCACACCTGGGAGTAAGCGGGAAGTCAGTGCAGCTGGGCTTGTGGGCCCCACATCGGCCCCACTTCTGGGCCTGCACGCCCTCGTTCACCCCAGCCTGGTGCCCTGGACCCACAGACACCCCGAGGGGCGGAGGGCTGAGTGTGTGGCGTGGCCAGGCTGTGGGCCTGTGTGCCAGGGTTGGGGGGCGCAGGGTGTGGGGCGCGGGGCAGGGCCTGAGGAGGCAGGGGAGCTTGGGAGGCCTCCGGCCGGGGCCCGGCCTCAGCGCTCATCTCCCCGGGGTCCGCAGCACCGCGGGGCCACCCCCCAGAGCATAACGGGTGGGTCATTGTTTACCGCAGGCCTGTCTGTCAGGGCCAATGCCGAGCTGGGCGCAGGGCCCGCCCCCGGGTGCTGGGGAAAAGGGGCACACGCCCCTGAGGGAGCAGGCACGGGGCGGGACTGCGAGGAACCCCGGAGAGGGGAGGCCCCGTGCGAGGGCGCAGGGGCTCTGAGCTGCAGCTGGGCCCGGGCGGGCGCGGGCATGTACGATGGGCCAGGCCTCCCCACCGCCCCGTGGCCGGGTGCACAGCTCCACCCCACAAAGCAGGCACTGGACTCAGACAGAAACAGCGCCCCGCGGATCTCAGGCTGTGTCCTGCGTCCCGCGTCCCTCTAAGCCCCCTCGCCTGCAGAGGGTGCACAGGCGGCCTCCCGGCCGTCTTCGTTGCGGTGAAGGGGAAGGCAGAGCCTTAAGGGGGTCCCTGTTACCAGCGGGGACCCCAGCAGGCGCTCACCAGCCTGCTGTGTCTCCGTCCCAGGTCCGAGGGGTGAAAGGTGTCTTCCTGGCAAATCAGAAGGTGGACGGGAAGGTGGTGACCCTCATCACCTACAACAAGGGCCGCGACTGGGCGCACCTGCGCCCCCCCAGCACGGACATGAACGGGAAGCCCACCCACTGCCAGCCCGTGAGTGCTCTTCCTGCCGGGCGGGCGCGGCGCTGGGGCGGTGGGGGGGGGCCCCCGAGTGAGCGCTCTGTCTGCCAGCGGCCAGGCGCCGGGTCCTGGGAGAGGCACCCCCAGGGCCGCCCTCTCAGTAGCTCGCGGCAGACACGCGTGGTGCCAGCCAAGAGGGCTGGTGCGCTGTAAAGGCAGAGTAAAGGGCTGGCACGGACTCTGCGGGCAGGTGGGGAGGGACAGCCTTGATTTTCCAGCATCTTCCTTCTGGGAGGGGCCTCATTTCTTTCTAGAACTGTTAACTTGTTCATTGTTTGCAGGGCGGACCTAGGTAGAGCCGAAGGAGGCACTTGTAGATGGCCCTCCCCGCCCCGAAGTGCCCTCCTGCAAGGGGATCCACCCACTAAGCGTTATTTCCCGAGCAAATGCAGCTGACGAGCCTCCCCTCTGCCTCCTGGGGGGAGAAATAAACTAGGACACCAGCACTCGCCAGCGGGCAGGCGGGGAGGATCCCTCCCTTCTGGACTGACCTTCTCCCGCTGCAGTTCCAAAGCCCAGCGCGCCCTTCCCTTCCATTCTCGCAGCAAACTCCTATTGACAACTGAACCCCCCCAAGGCCCCTCCACAGAGGCGCCTCCACCGGGCACACCTACTCCCAGCTGTGTTCCACGGGCGTCCACTCGAGGCCCTCACAGGCCTGAACCCACCCAGGCTGGGCCCCTGCAGATAGAGTAAGAGTGTCTGTTGTACGGGGGCGTTCATTCCACAGGTAGGTCTGAGCACCTACGCCAAGCGCGATGAATATGCCAGCGTAAGACAAAGGCATCGTGCCTTCCTGGGATCCTGCCCGGGCCTCTGCAGGCGCCCCTGCCCTGCCAGCCCCCGTCTGCTGCGGGGCTGGCATGTGGAACAGAAGCCGTTCCCCTTCTTCCAAACAGTAACCCGGCCAAGACCAGGGGGCCCTGTGCCCTCTGGGCAGCAGCCCCCCCGGCAGGCCCAGGCCCTGAGCCCCAGTCAACTCTCCTTCCCGGGCCCCCGCTCAGCCCCCGCCCGCCCCCCGCCCCCCGCCGAGCAAGGGGCCAAGGACGCCGCGAAAGGGCTAGTTTTTGTACCATCCTCGGCAAAGTTGGGCTCCATTAACCGGTCAAAGCAAGTTTTTGCTAAGAATAGTCTCGTCTGCAATCACGCAGCTCAGCGAGGAGGCAGCCTGGCGGGATTTACGTGCAGCCTTCAAGTGACGGAAGAGGGCGGCCCGGGCGGGCCGGGGACCCGATGGGCAGAGGGGCAGAGCACGGTGGACGGAACCCGCCTGGGCACAGGAGCCTTGTCTGGGGGGGTGGCCCCTCTGCGGCCCCAGCGGCGGGGGGAGCGGGTGGGGGTGCCAGTATGGCCCCCACCCAGTGAAGGGGGCCGACCACATGAGACATGTTACCCTGAAAGCGGCTCCTGCGTCTCACAGAAGACCCCAGGCGCGTGCGAGGGACGTGCGCGGAGCTGCCCCATCGCCCGGCCGCGACCTCGGCGGCCCTTCCCGCCACTGGCCTCGTGCAACGGGCATGGCGAGCCACATGGTGCCCCAAATGCTCCTGGCCCAGTCTTGCCCCCCTGCTCCCAGCCCTGCCCGCCGGGGCGCCTTCTGCACGGGAGGAGCGAGCGTGTCCGCCGGGACGTGGCTGAGCCCGGGCACGAGGGAATGGCGTCCGTTTCGCTGGGGCAGTTCCTTAGGACGCAGCGGCGCTGCCCTGGGGGCCGAGGGGGAGGCCTGGCAGAGGGGCCTGCCGCTGGCTCATCTCCTCTGCCCACCTGTCAGTGCTGACCCGGCGGCACCGGCCTGTCCTTGGGGCCCCCGCAAGCTGGGGGCTCAGGGTCCCGCCATCTCTGGCCACACCACCCCGAGGGCAGCCCCGGCCTGGAGCTGGGTGTCCCGACATATCTGCTGGTTCCCCAGGAGCTGGGACTACCCGGCCTGGCCCGGCCCGGCCCAGCCACCTGCCCTTCATCAGCTGGACCCAGGCTGGCCGGAGGGCTTCGTAAGCCCGTCTGAGGCTGGCAGACACCAGCAGGGTCCCTAGGACCATCGCCCCCCCAGGGGCTGGCCCGGACCACCCCCTCCCCACTGGTGGCTGGTCAGCGGCGGGGACTGCAGGGACAGGGATTGGGGGGAGGGAGCTGGTCCCTCCCTTGCTCAGCCTCCCGCTTCGCAGCTCAACTCAGGGTGTGACTCGTGCTGTGGGGTCGGGACCTCCCGAGTCCCTGCAGACCCTGGCCGTCACCTCCAAAAGAAGCCCCGTGCCCACCACCACCCCACACTCTCCCACCCACCTGCCCACCCGTCTCTGCAGGATTCCTCCTGCCGATCCACAGGGGTGGGGCCGCAGCAGGGGAGGAGCCCGAGGCAGGGCTGGGGTCCCACAGAGGTGGGGCCCTCTGCAGGAGAGGGCCCGGCCAGGGGTGAGGCCCACCGTTCGGGCCCGAGAGAGCGTGAGGGAAGGTACAATCATCAGAAAGATGTGCGTGGAATCGCTCTGGCAGCCTGGAGGACGCGGGCGGATGCGGTGGTCCCTGCCCAAGCTGGAGAACCCGCCCTGGGGAAGCCCGGGGCTTGTCCCCCAGCAGATCCTGCCCCCCCCCCCAGCAGTCAGCCTCCGGGAAGACACAGGTCAGGTTGGGGCCTCCTCTGGACATCGCCCCAGGCACTGACTCAGCCCCTCCCCCGCAGCCCGACTGCCACCTGCACCTCCACCTGCGCTGGGCAGACAACCCCTACGTCTCCGGCACCGTGCACACCAAGGACACCGCCCCCGGACTCATCATGGGCGCAGGTGAGTGGGGCATCGTGCCTGAGGGGCGTTCTGTTCCCCAGGGGACATGCAGGCCACGCGCCTGGGGCCCTGGCGTGTCCACTGGGGAGGGGCCGCTGCTTCTCCGGGAAACAGCTCCTGTAGCAACGCCGGGGCCTTGAATGCACGGCCCAGAGCGGACACCTGGCACATACTGGGTGATGGATGGGTGGGGGTGGTGGATGTGGGTGGGTAATGGTTGGATGGGTGACAGGTGGGTGACGGGTGGGTGATGAGTGGACCTCATGGAAGCCAGGACACCACAGACCCTGCTGCTCTGATCAGAACTCTCTGACTCATGTGCTTGGGGACATTCCATCTCCTTCGGAATTTTCCAAGGACTTTGGAACTTGACTCTGGAGAGAATACTTCTGAGCATAAATAAAACATCTAGATATACACACAGGTGACCCCCCTGGTCACACAGAGCAGCCGGGGCACGTCGTCATTGTGGGGGAGCAGAGACGGGTGTGGCCGGGGGGCTTGGCAGGGGAGGCAGGCACAGGGCTCGGGCCCGGGACGGGAAAGCTGGCTCCCCTACAAGCAGCACCAACCCCTCTCCCCTGGCCAGGTAACCTGGGCGCACAGCTGGTGGAGTATAAAGAAGAGATGTACATCACGTCGGACTGCGGGCACACCTGGAGGCAGGTAAGGGTGCCACCGCCCCGTCTCCGCCGCGCCTGCTGCCTCTGGCTGCGAATGAGAGCCCGCCTGGGCATCAGCTCCACAGTGGACACTGCTTGAAACCCCTGCGGCGACATGCTGGCCGGCCGTGCGCCCTGCCTCCCGGCGGCACGGGAGGGTCTGTTTTAGGTCATTTCTGTGCCCGAGAGCCGCATTGCGGCCCAGGGCTCGTGCAGACGGGCATGTTCACCCCCAAAGTGAGAGGCTCGCCTTGGCCAGCGCCTCGTGTTTTCCGACAGCGCAAGAGAGGAGGGTTCTGAAAAGGGCGAGAGAGCCGCACTGTGCTACAGTGTTCTGACCTCGCTCAAGTGGCGAGAGGCGTCTGGACTGCGGAAGGCGCGTGTGTCCAGCGCTGTGACTCCCGCTGGGCGGGAAGCAGAGGCCGTGGGCTGTGCAGATGCGAGGGCAGCACGCGGGCGCACCCACTTTTCTGGAGTCTGGAGATCATGAGAGTGGAATTACTGTGTGGGGGCCGTGGGCATGACTGGGAGGCACCTGTTCTCCCCAGGGGGTGCACGTGGCAAAAGCCCCCAAGTGCCCTTGAGGGCGGCAATGACAGACAAGCACAGTAAGTGCGGGGAGGGGCTGTGAGCCCAGCCTGGCATCAGGGAGGGCTTCCTGGAGGCAGTGGCACTTGTGCTGCGGCTCAGTGGAGGACTAAGCCTCACGGCGCCGCTTGTCCCGAGGGCCTCTCTGGTCAGGTCTTTCTCTCCCGTCGTCACGTTGCCGGCTCTGCGTGCGGCTCCACACCACGCTGATAGGAGCTTCTACCTTGGTGATCTAGGGGCTCCTCTCGGGCCCATCTGCCCACGAGCAGCGTGTCTGGGTGCTGGGGGAGGGTGGGGACGCGGGAGCCCTCACGTCGGCCCTGCCTGGGGGAGCTGGCCCTGCTGGCGCCCCCACCCCGAGAGCAGCCCCGGCTCTGACCTCTGGCCCGGCCCAGGTGTTCGAGGAGGAGCACCACATCCTGTTCCTGGACCACGGCGGCGTGATCGTGGCCATCAAGGACACCTCCATCCCCTTGAAGGTCCTCAGGTAGCGCGGGGGCCCTGCGGGGGGCCCTTCTCCCCACCGGGGAGCCCCTCAGTGTATTCTCCTGTGGGACCCCAGAACAGGGGGCTCGCCCCACCAAAGGTCAGACACGGGAGGCCGGGAAGCAGGAGTCAAGGCCGCCAGGCCAGGTGGGCCGGGGCAGGCCGGGAACTGGGGGCCCAAAGCACCCCACTGTGGTCTGAGCAGCCGGGAGGGCTTCCCGGGACGTGAACTTGACGTGTCAGGGAGCTTAGTTAGGAGGTGGGTCGGCGCTCAGGCCAGCGGGAGCGGGTAGGCAGCCCGTAGGGCGGGCGTGAGGGCGGGCGTGAGGGCGGGCGTGAGCCCTGGCCCTGAGGCCAGAGCTGGGGAAGCCTCCAGGAAGCCAGTTTCACTCTAGTGGGGAGACCCTCAGCGCTTGTACTGCGCTTGGAGACCGGCACACGGGAGGCAGCTGCCCCAGACCTGGCCCCAAACCCCTGCTGTGGCCCGGGCGCTGGGCTGCCTGTGGGGACGCCACCGCACCCCGATCTCCCCACCCGGCACTGGGCCCAGGCTTGCCCGCCTGGACACAGGCGTCGCTGCCCGCGCCTGGCGACCCCTCCCTCGCAGGTTCAGCGTGGACGAGGGCCTCACCTGGAGCACGCACAGCTTCACCAGCACCTCCGTGTTCGTGGACGGGCTGCTGAGCGAGCCGGGCGACGAGACACTGGTCATGACGTGAGTGCCGCCGGCCCGCGCCTGCCTCTGCCCCCCTCCGGGACCCGGCGCACCCCACAGGGCTTCTATGCAGACCTGCCTGCAGGTCAGGGCCAGCTCCAAGTCGACCAGAGTCTCGCTCTGGACCTTCTGCGCTGCCCGCCTGGCCTCCCCACAGCACAGGCTTCGCGAGGCCTGGGAGGACGCAGGCTGTGTGGGGTGGGGAGCGCTGCTCGTGCAGCAAAGGGCACACCCCCCGCGAGGCACTGAGGGTGCCTTGGGCCTCGCCTTCCGAGGGCAGCGTTCTCGGGGTGACAGGTACCCCAGCCGAGGCAGGACCTCCGCGTCCGGGGCTGCTGTCCCGCCCTCTGGAATAGCCACAGCCTGAGCCACGTGGCCAGCCTCTGCCTGGCCTGGGAGGGGGGCAGGGAGCTCCCTCTGGTGTGTAGCGAGAGAGGGTGTCCAGGCGGGCCAGGGTCGGCGCCCTGTGGCCACGGCGGCTGCTGTCACCGATGACGCAGAGAGGGAGAGCAGGTCCTCGCCCCGGGAGACCAGCCAGGGCCCCGCACAAGGCCACACTAAGGGGCTTTCTCCCCTCCCTCCGCCCTCCCAGGGTCTTCGGCCACATCAGCTTCCGCTCAGACTGGGAGCTGGTCAAGGTGGACTTCCGGCCCTCCTTCTCCAGGCGGTGCGGCGAGGAGGACTATGGGTCCTGGGACCTCGCCGACCTGCAGGTGGGTGGGCACAGCTGGAGGCGGGCAGGGCAGGTGCCCCTCCCTCCTGGGGCGTCTCCCAGGGCCCCGACGCCCTAGGGGTCTGCCCTGTTTGGGGTGCCTTGGGCTCGCTGGCCTGCGGGTGGGGTGTGTGACCTCCCTCGGGGCTCGGTCCACAGGCCCCAACTCACCGCGGCCGCGGCCAGGGCCAGGTGTGTCCGGCACCCGTGTTTCAGCACGTGCATGCGTCACGCAGGCTGCAGCCCCCGTGAGGATATAGTGGCAGCCGCTGTGCAGGGCCAGCTGGGGCTGCATGGCTGGGGGCCCTGCCCCGGCCACAGCCACGCGCCGCCTTTGGGGGTGGAAGTGGGGGTGCCTGTTTTGGTCACTCGCTGAGGACCTGCTGTGTCCACCAGGCCCTGCAGCCTTTGGCTCAACTCCCTGCCCAGGGCCTGAAGGGACAAAGAGGAAGTTAAGGGGACTTTTTCCCACACGGTGACCCAAGGGTGCGGACGGAGCGGGCACAGCGCGGATGCCCAGAGGATGCACACGGGTGGCGATGGAGAGGCTGCCCTGCTGGACTTGGCCCATCTCCTCGGGCCTTAGCATCCCCGCCTGCCCGCCGCTGCCCGCGGGGCCAGTGGACGGGGCCTGGGCTGGGCCAGCTCAGCAGCTCGGCCTCCCCATGTCCCCTGCAGGGTGACCGCTGCATCATGGGCCAGCAGCGGAGCTTCCGGAGGCGCAGGCCGGCGGCCTGGTGCGTCCAGGGGCGGAGCTTCACGTCAGCGCTCACCTCCCGCGTGTGTGCCTGCCGGGACTCCGACTTCCTCTGGTGAGGACCCACGCCGGCCCGGCCTGCGTGGGGAGCGCCTGCGGCCTGCTGCCCCTTCTCCTGGCAGCCCAGCCCACTCCCGGGGACGGTGTGTTCCGGACTTCCTGGGCATGCTGGCCCGGGCAGGAGGACACAGCAGGAGCAGCAGGGGGATCTGGGCTGTGCCCACCAGCCCCTCTCTCCCACCCGGGGCCTCTGCTGAAGCCCCTGCTATTGCCCTGCCTGCTCCACAGTGGCCAGGGGCTGCCCAAGGCCCCCGGGAGACGTCCAGGCCCAGAACCTGTCCAGGAGGCCTCAAGCCCTACCCCCTCCCCCCCTCCCCCCATTCTCTGGCCACCGCAGCTCCAGCTGCGAAGGGACTGGCCCACCTGTGGAGCCCTCCCTGCTTCCCCACCTATCTCTTGCTCTGCCCTAGAGATGCAGGCCACCTCCTCCAGGCAGCCCTCCAGGACCCCCAGGTTGGGCTCGGTCCTCTCCTGTGAGTTCCCGGGATCCCCTTTGCATCCCTTCTCACCTGTCAGCTCTCACGCCCGTGTCCCCCAGGTGGGGCCGTGTGACTCGCCTCCCTGTCCCCAACCCGAGCCTCAGCCTGTCCTCTCCCCTCAGTGACTACGGCTTCGAACGAGCCCCCTCTGCAGAGCCCGGCAACAACAAGTGCTTTGCCAACTTCTGGTTCAACCCACTGGCCCCGCCCGAGGACTGCGTCCTGGGCCAGACCTACAGCAGCAGCCTCGGGTGAGGGCGGCCGCCCCTCCAGCCAGCTCAGGGCAGAGTAGCGATTCCACTGGACGTGGGGGTGGCGGGCAGGGGCTGCCCTCCCCCCAAGCAGCCCAGTCCCCCCGCCAGAGAGGGCTGCGTGTGGCGGCCGGGCCAGCGCGGGCCCGGGGTGGACGCCCAGACAGGACGCATCGCGTGAGCGAGTCCGTGACTCAGGCGGCGTCTAGCCCAGCGTCCTGCACTGCGGAAAGGCACCGGCACCCCGTGGCAGTCACAGGCCGGGTGGGGCTGAAGCCAGTGCTCTGGGCCGTCCCATGGGGGCCTCAGAGCCCCAGGCCCCGCAGACCCTGACCTGCTGCTCTCGGGCTGCAGGTACCGGAAGGTGGTATCCAACGTGTGCGAGGGCGGCGTGGACCTGCAGCGGAGCTCGCCCCAGCTCCAGTGCCCCCTCACACCACCCCGGGGCCTGCGGGTCAGCATCCGCGGTCAGGCCGTGGCGGTACAGCCAGGAGATGACGTCCTGTTCGAGGTGCGGCAGGAGCAGGTAAGTGGGCCCCCCCCACCCGCTGCCCTGCCCCCGGCTCCGCCCTGTGTGGTTCAGTCTCTGCCAGCTGCTCAGAACGCTTCCCAAAGGGCAGCAGGTGACGGTGGGTGGAAATGGCTCCCTCCCTCGGCTGGGCCAGCAGCGAAAAAGGCAACAGAAGCAGAGAATAAAGCCCAAGAATGGAGGGTCAGGGGGATGCCCCGCCGTCAGAGGCAACCGCGTCACACGTGTCTGTGCGTGTGTTTGCACGTGCGTATGTGCGCGTGGATGTGCGTGTGTGTGCGTGCGCGTGCATGTGTGCATGTGTGCACGCGCACTGGGCAGTGACGCAGGAGTTACTCATTCCTGCGGGTGGCAGTCCACGTTTTAAACCTCTAATTATGTTGATTTAGTTAATTGGGAATTGTAAGCAACGCAGAGAGTTAGAAACTGTTCCGATGACCCCACGCCAAGACCCCGCAGCCAGCTTGGAGAGGGGAGAATGCAGGCGTGCAGACAGGCGTGCAGACAGGCGTGCAGACACACACACAGGCAGGCACAGGTGTGCACAGCCTCCCAGACGTTCCTCTGTCTTTTATTTAGGACAAGAGCGATTTTTTCTTCTTATTTCTAAAACAGCACGTGCTCACTATAGAACACTTGAAAAATGCATCACAAAAACGTAAATCTCACCACAACGCCTGCTCCCCCAAGGACGTTGTTCATATGTTTATTTCCTTCTAGCATTTTTGAATTGCTCTGTAGCGGGCTTATTTTTTTGATGACAGAAATAACAAATGTTCATTGCAAATATTCAAAAGCAGAAGTTAAGAGGCTGTGACTCAGCAAAGGCAAAGCTGGGACGGCCTGACCCCGGGCGCCCCGCCCCCAGTGTACGCCAGTGGACGGGGGGCACTGGTGCGCCTGACCCAGGGCCTCGGCCTGCACCGAGGTGGCAGGTGCGAGGGCAGAGGTCCTTCATGTTGGAGACAGGTCTGGGGCCTGGCACAATCAGGAAAACGGAGGCAGAGAGGAGGCGGACGGCACTGAGAGCACCTTGCACCCCTGCTTCCGGCCCCCTCACCGCACAGCTGGGAAACCGAGGCTGCGACGCAGCCCCCGTGAAAGCGACAGAGCCAGCATCGGTCCCGTTTGGGGCTCGTGTGGCTGGCACCTGTCCCGTGTGCTGGACGCTCCGGCCGGCGGCCCTGCCTGTGCTGACGGAGCCTGGCTCTGAGGTTCTCACTTTTGGCCTTGGGTGCGACCCAGAGGAGGGGGGTGTCTCTGCTCCCAGCACCGTCTTAGAGTGATGGGAACAGTGCCCCCCGCCCTCCCGTCCTGGGCTGGGGCCTCCTGGACCCTCAGGCGGGGCCCCAGCTGCAGCCCTGAACCCAGGACAGGTGTGCAGAGATGTGGCCCTCTGCTGCCCCCTAGTGCCGGGATCCGGGCCGTGCAGCTCTGGGAACCAGGTGGGCCTGGCAGAGCTGGCGGAGCAGCCCAGTTGGGGTCTCCGGGGAGGCTTGTGGGAGCCCGGGGCCAGGGTGGGCACCCACACTCAGGCACACACAGCCAGGCCAGGCAGAGCAGGCGTGGGGGCGGGCCGGACCCGGGCTCCCTCTGGAACACCAACCCCAGCCTGACAGCGCCCAGGACCAGAGCCCTGGCCGGCAGGTGAGGCCGGTGCCAGCAGCTCCAGGAGGGGAGGGGCAGGGAACACCCCGGCTTCACGCCCCATCCCGGGCAGGGCAGGCGGATCGCGGCTTAGAGGGAAGCGAGGACTCCTGGCCCTCAGGACAAAAGGCTCATGTGGAAGTGGGTCTCTCAAGTGGATGCCAGGAGCAGCAGCCGTGCGGCCCGTGGGGACGACACACACACGCCCCTAGGGCCCGGCGCCTGGCATGAGGCTCTCAGAACCCCAGGGGGACAGACGACGCCCCACAGCAGGGGGTGGGGCAGGTGCCCGAGGGCACGTGGTCACCTGTCAGGAAGAGGCTGGCCAGGCCCCGAGGAGGCGGCCCTCACCCTGGAGCGGCGGAGTCAAGCACTGGAGACAGGCCGAGTGCTGCAAGGACGCGGGGGACACGCAGACCCTTGGGGTGGACGGCGGTGCCGCCGCGGGGCACACAGGCCAGCGGGTCCCTGAACGCAGCCTGCCCGCCGTGAGACGCAGCACTCCCCCCGGCAACCCCCCGAGGAGGACGCGGGTGCACGAGCCTGCCCAGGGCCAGGCAGCTCCCCAGAGTCGGGGCCTCCCCAGGGGGCGCCCCTGCAGGCCACGGACGCTGCAAAGTGATCGAAGGAGCTGATTGTGGACGGCCGGGTGACAGGGAGAAGTGCACTGAACGAGAACAGGCCCGCTCTGAGGGACTGTCCTCGCTGACCCCACTTAGAGAGCGACCCCCGCGGCGGAGCAGGAGTGGGGCCAGGCCGGTCTTCGCCAGGGAGCCGGGCTGGAGGGTGGAGGGCGTGGGGATCACGCTCGCACCCGCTGCGCAGCGTCCAGCCCCTCCTGGACATGATGGTTCTGGGGCGCAGTGCCGGGGGCCCTGGCTGGGGGCCTGCAGGTTTCGTTCCCTGCAGTTCCCGGGAACTGACGGCTCCCCGGCCCCGCCGGCGCCATGTCGCTCCTCCACCACGAGGAGGGATCCTCTGGGTGCCCCTGGGTGGGGGCAGCAAGGGACAGGGAGGGCAGGAGGCGGGCAGGAGGCTGCACCTGTCGTGCTGTCAGTCGACGGGCACTGCTGGGGCTGCGCGTGTCGGGCGTGTCTGTGGGTGACCCCGGCCTCCTCGCCGGGCATCCCTCTGCAGACCCCGGCCCAGCGTCCTTCCCGGCAGCGCAGGGAACGAGGCGCCGTGGCCGGGCAGGGGTACGTTGTACTTCCCGGGGGCCGGTGAAGCGTCTTCCTGCGATGTCTCCAGGGGAGACTCTGCCCGCCCCACACACCACCCCTGCTCCCCGCTTGGAGTCCGGCGCTGCCCGGTGCCCCGCCCTGCGCCTGGGGGGGTCTCCGCAGTCCCAGCACCTCTGCCTTCCTGCCCCGACTCCCGCCGGAGCCCCGGGAAGGTAGAGCTGGCCCTGGGCCCCGCGGCGCACTCCTGAGGGGGCGGATGACCGGTGCTGGCCCCTCAGCCTCGGCGCTCCCCACAGGGCGACGTCCTGACCACCAAGTACCAGGTGGACCTCGGGGACGGCTTCAAGGCCATGTACGTCAACCTCACGCTGACGGGGGAGCCCATCCGACACCGCTACGAAAGCCCCGGCGTGTACCGGGTGTCCGTGAGGGCGGAGAACGCGGCCGGGCACGAGGAGGCTGTGCTCTTCGTCCAGGTCAACTGTAAGTCCGTCGCCCTCGGGCTGGCACCCGCCTGTGACAGAGCCAGCTCCGGGGGTCCCGGGAGTCTCGTGGGACCACCGCAGTGCCCAGGCCTCCTGACGGCAACCCGAGGGCACCCTTGGTTGCAGACGGTGGGGGCCGGGTGGGGTGACTGACCGGCAGCAGTCGCTGGAGTGCCCACTGCCCTGATGCCCTCTAACCCAGCCTCTCCTGGGCCCCGCAGCCCCCCTGCAGGCCCTCTACCTTGAAGTGGCCCCTGTGGTCGGCGTCAACCAGGAGGTCAACCTCACAGCTGTGCTGCTGCCCCTGAACCCCAACCTCACCGTCTTCTACTGGTGGATCGGCCACAGCCTGCAGGTGCGCGGACTGGCCCCGCGGCCGGGGGGCTGCCAGCTGGGCAGACTGGGGAGAGGGCGGGGGAGGGTGTCGGGCCCGGCCTGGCGGCCTGGACAGGCCACGTCTTCCACGTTGGGGGAGGGTAGGCACCGTCTGGGGGGATGGGCTGCCGGGAGGCCGTCCCTGCTGTGCCTGCCCCCAGCGGGATGTCCTGGGGCTCTCTGGCCCCGCACTGACCCCCTCTGCCCTGCAGCCCTTGCTGTCCCTGGACAACTCGGTGACCACGCGCTTTGCGGACACAGGGGATGTGCGCGTGACGGTGCAGGCGGCCTGCGGGGCATCGGTGCTGCAGGACTCCAGGCTGGTCCGCGTGCTGGGTGAGTCCTGGGCGGGAGGCCCTGCCCCACGCCCCTGACCTGGAGGTGCACGTGGTGGCATTGCCAGGGTGACGGTCGCCCAGGAGCCTGTCCGGGACGGGAGCTGGTGGTGCCTCCAGACGCGCTCCAGCCCTTGGCCTCAGCTCTCCATCTCTGCCGTAAGCAGTGGTTCTGCCCCAGCAGGAGCCGCCTGAGCGCGTGGCTGGGGGGCCAGGCCCTGGCAGCGAACGCACGGGATTGGCGAGGTCTGCCCGCCAGCTGGGCCCCTGCCCTCCAGCCTGACACAGTCACGTGACTCCGGGCAGTGAGCAGACTCGGGGTACAGACCCCTGCTCTGAACCAGGGCCCCGTGTCCTGTGCTCGCAGGGGCTCTCAGCCCGCCCGAGGAGGGTGCAGTAGAAACGTTACCCAGAAGAGCCGCCAGCCCCAGCTACGCCCGGCTGAACCCTGGCCAGCACCCCCGTAACACCCGGCCTCGCCTCGGGGCGCTGCCCTGTGCACAGCAGCCGCGTGGGCTAAGTCATGGCCTGCCCCGCCACCGGGCACCCTGGGCCCCAACAGTGTGCAGCCCTGGGCGGTGTCCGGTCCCTAAGGAGCCATTTTCACCCTGCGCGGCCCCCGCCCCGCACCAGCGAGAAAGCCAAGGCAGGGAGGCGAATGGAGACGGTCAGGCCCGAGCCGCCCGCTGGGGCCTTCCCACCACGCCCGCTGCTGGCTCTCGAACAGCCGGGGCACGGCCTGGGAGTATGAATGAGCAGGCGGGGTCTGCTCCCCTGGGATTCTTCCTGTGGCGGGAGGGCGCGTCTGGTCAGAGCCTGTGGGTGCTGGGGTGGGAGGCCGGCTCACCGGGTGGGCGCCCCTCGTGGGCCGGCGGGGCAAGTCCCCCAGGCGGGCTCGGCCGCGCCAGGCCCCCGCCCAGGCCACGAGGTCTCTGCCTCACAGGGCAGCTGTTGGCACGCCTGGCCGGCGGCCTGTGGGGCACGCAGGAGGGCCCGTTATCTGAGACTAGTCCCCCTCCCCGCCTGGGCCCAGGGCTGTGCTGGGCCGTGGGTGCGGCGGCCACTGGGAGGGAGGGGCCGAGCCGGGCACCGGCCAGCCCTGTCTCTCCCTCTGCAGATCAATTCCAGCTCGTGCCTCTGCAGTTTTCCAAGGAGCTGGACACACACAACCCGAACACGCCCGAGTGGAGAGAGGACGTTGGCCTGGTGGTCACCCGGCTCCTGGCCAAGGTACCCCCGCCCGCCACAGCCGATGGCCCCCAGCACCCGGGGCCCCTGGGTGCCCCACCCCCAGCCTCAGGAGTCTCATCTTCGGGCTACTCAGGGGACCCACCGCTGGACAGTCGCCTTGCAGGGGTTGGTGGGCTGTGTCTGCGCGTACACAGTGAGCGCCAGCTGTTTGCAAACTGTCCTCCAGCTGGCCTGGATAGAGCGATTTTATCTCTTCTGGGTCGGGCACTGGAGCAAGAGACAAGAAGCAGGGTGGCCACTGCCCTCGGGCCCCAGAGTGGGCACAGGCCACTTGTGGCCCTGGACTGCCGACGAGAAAAAGACTGGCCCCTGGGGCGTCCCGGGCCATCACAGGCCAGGCCCACTCTGGCCCTGCCTGGCCCGGGCCTGTGAATAATCTTGGTGAATTGCCCTGGGCATTGAAGGATGAACAGGAGTTTTCCAGAGGGAGGGAGGGGCCTCCGGGAGGCAGGGCGGCCACAAGCTGAGCTCTAGGGGTGAGGGTTTACTTGATCAGGAGCTCTGGGCTGCGGGGTCGAGGGGGGCGGGCGTTCCCAGGGAAGGTCCTGCTCAGTGTGGCCACAGCGTGGACAGGGACTGGAGGGCAGGCCTGGCTGAGTGGAGGCAGAGGTAGGGGCGAAGGGCTGGGGTCGGGGAGAGCTGGGCTGTGGGTGCGGCGCGGGCTCCTTCCCCAGGTGTGCAGGATGGGGAGGACTCAGGCCAGGGGAGGGGCATCCCAGGCCCTCCAGAGTGGGCACAGGTCAGAATGTGGCTCAACTGTGACCCCCAGGAGACCGGCATCCCTGAGGAGCTGCTGGTGACCGTGGTGAGGCCGGGGCTGCCCACCTGGGCTGACCTGCACGTGCTGCTGCCCCCAGCCAGGCCCGCCACCAGGAGGAGCCTCGCCGATGACAAGGTGCCCGCGGCCTCAGGCCGGCCCGGGGGTGCCCAGGCAGGGGACGGGTCACAGAGAGCACAGGCCCTGGTGGACTGGGCCAAGACCCGCAGCTCGCCTGCCCCTGTCTGCTGCCCCTGTCCGCCTGCGGCTGCAGCCTGGGGCACACTGGCCCTGCTGATGGGGCGGGCAGGGACGGGCGTGAGGCTGGGCCTTGCCCCCCTGGGGTCTCTCCCCTTTCATGGGCTGGAGCTGCTCATGCCCCGAGGGGTGCTGGACACGGTGAGCTCCGCTCAGGGACACTCCTGGGTTTCAGGACAGCAGAAGTTGCCCCCAGCTGCCCCCTGGAGCGGGACAGGGAGGGGGAGGGGCCGCACCAGGGCGGGCATGAGTGGGGAGCACTGCCCGCCGCGGGGAGCTGGCACCTCCGAGGGCAGTGAGCCCCGTTGTGAGGACAAGGAACAGCTGGGGTCCCGCCCGGGGTGGGGTGGGCATGGCTTTCTCCCCATGACACCCCAGGTGTGCCCCACCCAAGACGACTGTCCCTGGGACAGGGGCGCAGAGAGTAACCCCAGTGCCGGATGGAGCAGAGCAGGCAGAGCCCTAGGGAGGGGCGCAGGGCGCCCGAGCCGCCCCCTCTCCAGGGGTCCCGGCCACGCCTCCTGTGTGTCCTGGAGCAGCTCCTCGGCGAGCTGGCTGCTGGGTCACTGCGCCCATTTCACACATGCCGCAGCCCAGGGAGGCCGCCCCGGCCCGGGCTCTGAGGGCCAAGGGCTCTGCCGCCACTTCCCGTTCCCTCTGGCGGGTGCGGGGCGCCCGCCTCACCCCGCTCTGCTTGCAGAGGCGCACGGCCGTCCTGCAGGCGCTGAAGGCGCAGAAGATCGGCTTCCTGCTGCGGGGCGGTGTCCGGGTGCAGGTGGCGGTGAGGGACGGGGACACAGGTGAGCACCCAGGGTGGCCCTGGCCGTGCTGGCCCCGCTGAGGGGAGGGCGGGCGTGCATTGGGCCCTCGGTGCCCACACGGCAGATCCCGGGCAGAGAGCCCCCAACTGCCCACATGCTCCTCTGGAGGGTTCACCCCTTTAGCCCCAGATCCTGCCTCCAAGGACCGCAGGAGGCCGGGCGCCGCTGACCGGCCCTTTGCTTGCAGATGCGCAGAGGCCGGGAGGAGGCGGTGGCTACTGGGCCGTGGCTGTGCTGCTGGTCGCCGGGCTCTTCGCGGTGGGAGTGTTCATCCTCTTCAAGTTCAAAAGGCAAGGCCGCGCTGGCCTCCCCCGGCCACCAGGCAGTGACGGTGGGGCCTGCCACGGGCTGCAGGGGGGTGGCACCCGCCTAGACCTGCTCCCCGCTTCTGAACCGCCCTCGATCAGGAGGGTGACACCCGGCGGCTCACAGCCCGTCCTTTCTGCTCCAACAACCGGCAGAGGGATGGCACCGTTCATCTTACAGCTGAGGAAACCCAGGCTCAGAGAGGTTAAGTAATGTGCCCAGGGGCACGCAGCGAGTGACGGAGACGCAGGATCTGACCTGGCCGGTCCCCACCCCAGGCCCCCTCAGCACTCACCCCTCCCCAAGAGCGCCGCGTGCCAGGCAGTGTTCAGATGAGGGCCACACGGGTGCTTGGGGGTAGGAGTGGGGCTCAGTAGGGAGCATGTACACTGTGTGATTGTCAGGAGGGCTTGGGCCTCTTCCCCTCTGAGCCTGCAAGATAGATCAATAACCCACTGCTCTGGGGTCACTGAGGACACCCCCAGGGGCTGGTGGGTGAGGACTTGAACCAGCAAAATGACCGAGTGCAGCAGACTCGTTTCCTGCAAAATGTAGCTTCCAGCTCTCACCCAGTGGCTTCTCCCCGGTGGCTGGTCCAACTCCAGTGGCCTCAGGGGCCCCCGGATTAGTGTCACCTGTGGAGAAATGCAAGGATGCAGTACCCTTTGCTTTATGCCCTTCTGAAGCTGAGCCCTCCCTCCCCAGTACCCCAACCACCTCGCCAGACCCCTGTCAGCTGGCTGTAGGCACCTGATTTCAGTTTTTTTAAAGACGCAATTACGTGCCTGCTCCTCCTCTGTGTGGGCCGCTAGTCCAGGTGCTGGCAACACTGGTTTAGGTGCCCCATGATCTAGTCTTAGCTGAAGGGGAGGCCTGAGATGCCCTGAGAAAGTGTAATAGGACCTGAGCTGGTCTGGACAATCTGGAAGGGCTCCCCTGAGGAGGTGGGGGCCCAATAAATGCCTCTCAGATCTGGGGTGTGTGTCTTGGAATGCAAGCCCACCAACCCGTCAGGACTTGATGAGGAAATGAAAGAGAATGAAATCCCTTCTCTGCACAAAAGGTATTAAAATTTATGTGGAAGCACAAACCTCCTGAATAGCTAAAGCAATGTTGAGAAAAATAAAAAGACGAAAACTGGAGACATCACCTTACTTGACTTCAAGCTATGTTACAAAATGACAGCATGGTCAAACAGTACGGTCGCGAAATTAAAAAAGAGATGATGGGAACCGAATCCAGAGCCCAGAATACATATGTCGACACTTCATAGACAAAGGAGCAATGATGATACAATGAAGAAAGGAAAATGTCTTCACCATATGGGGTGGGGAAAACTGGGGGGTCACATGTGAAAAAAAGGAACTGGATCACTCTTTAACCCCTAGACACAAATAAATTCAAAAATGGATGAAAGACTTGGATGCAAGACTGAAATCATAAAACACATAGCGGGGAACATCAGTAATATCCCATGACGTCAGCCTCGAGACCTTTGGGGACAGGCCGAGGGAACAGCCACAAAGGAACAAGCAAGGCTGCACCGAGTCAGAGGCTGCTGCGCAGCGACAGGGAAGGCCCGCTGGCTGAAGAGCGCACACTGGACAGGGGCACATATTGGCGTATCATACCTCAGAAAGGGGGTGAATGCCCGATTTACATAAATCACTCACACCGATCAATAATAATAACAACACCCCCGTTAAGAAAAGGACATAAGATCGGAATAGCCACTTGGCCCCTGGGAACATCCGGGTGAAACATATCCCGTGTTGTTAGGGAAATACAGTCAAATGGCAATGAGCCGTCACCTCACACCCGTGAGCACGGTTGACCTCAGAATGACCTTCACCACAGGTGCCAGCCAGTCCTGTCGGCGGGACTGTGACTGGTGCACCCGCTCTGGAGAACAGCGTGGCGTTTCCCCAAGATACTCGAGCGAGGGCCACGCTCGGACCCGGCCGCCCACGTCCAGGCATGGTGCCAGGGAGCGTGGTGCAATCAGCACTGACGTTTGGGGGAGACTCAGAAGCCCACGGACAGAGGATCGCATGAAGATGTGGGGTGAACACACAGTGGAATACTACTCAGCTGTAAAAAATGATGGACTGTTGTCGTTTCGGGCAGCAAAATGGAAGGAATTTGAGAGGATGCCGCTAAGTGAAGTAGATCGGGAGAAAGGCCAAGCTGTGGAGGCGGGACAGAGCCAGCGAACAGAGAAAAGAAAACGAGAAGCACCTGGTGCACTTTGACAAGCGAACTGGGCTTCCCAGAGGGAAGGTGGGCGCTGGGAGGCGGGTGGAGGGGCCCAGTGGCTCGGGGGGTGTTTCTTAAAACTGTAATAAAAAATAAACAGGAATGTGGGAGCCGAGCCAGCAGAGGGGAGTCCGGGAGGGCAATGATTTACAGTGACGAGTCACGCCCGGTCACCCCTCGCTGAGGCCTTGGCGGGAGCAGCGACAGCAGTGGGGGCCCCCGCGTCTCCCCGGGAGCCTGGATGTGGCCTTTTCTGGGCACAGCCTTGGCTAGTCTGAGGACCGCCCCGCGTGTTGCTTTGGGAAGATTCCTCCCCGCATCCTTGGCCGAGGCCTGTTTGACGCTTGCTCTACTTGTGGGTGGACACCCGTGGCCTTCGGCCGTGACCAGCAGCCCAGGCCCCTCCTGCCTGGAAGGCACACCAGCAGCTGGCCCTGGGGACGCCAGAGCGGGGCCCGGCGCCATCTCCCCAGCGACTGGATGAAGACCCCTGTCCTGTTCTTCCGTGACAGCGACCCTGGCCAAGAACCCCGCGGCCGCACGCCCAGCACAGCGTGTCCCCGGCCCCCCTGGCCACGTCTGGGCCCCCCGGGGAAGGCGGGATCTGGCGGAGCCCGTGATGGGCGCCTCGGGGTGCGGCCTCCAGGGGCAGGCCTCGTGCCACGCTGGAGTGAGCCGGCGGCTGGGGGAGACCCCTCCATGTGGTACCCGCTGGAGGATTCGAGTCACGAGTTCAAGGCTTTTCAATGCTCAGTGGAAAAATCCAAGAAAAATGCCCCTGCTGTGTTGGTGAGGTCACCAGCGATGTGCGCGCGGCCTGGCCCTGCCTCGTAGGAGTTTGTTTAATAATAAAACGCCAATAAAACCCTCTGGAGCAGGCTCTCCCCGTGCTGTGTCTCTAGATCTTGGGTGTGTGTGGCTTTGCGGAGGCCGAGTGTCCCCCTCCGCTCCCCGGGAGTGCTGCGCCACTATCTGGGGGTGCGGGGTGCCCCGGCCCTCTTCCTCGCGGCCCCAGAGGTCACCCGGTTCTCAGGTCGTGGCTTCCTGGGAGAGGGGCCTCTGCAAATCCCCTCCTGGAGCGACCCTGGTCTCGCTGCCTGAGACGTGGCCTGAGATTTCCTGAACAACGTGGCACGACGTGCAGCGAACTCGCTCCCTGCCAGGGCCGCGGCCTGCCGGGCTGGGGGGGCACAGCGGGGAAGGCTGCCCGGAGGAGGCGTCTCAGGCAGAGACTGGGCCCAGAGGAGACCCGGGAGCCTCGGGGGGCCGCGGGGGCGCCGCCGGCACCACGCCCGGGGGGTGGGCAGGCCCCCGCGTGCCCTGGGCAGGCGGCCTGGGCACCCCCGAGCAGCCCCTCTGCCTGCAGGAAACGCCCGGGCAGGACCGTGTACGCGCAGATGCACAACGAGAAGGAGCAGGAGATGACCAGCCCCGCCAGCCCCGGCCAGGGCGTGCAGAGCGCCGCGCAGGGGGAGCAGTGCGTGGACGGCGACCTGGACGCGCAGACCCCAGGTAACCCGCCCCGCCCGGCCCCGCCCTGGCCCCGCCCACCGCCGGCCCCGCCCACCGCCGGCCCCGCCCCTGGCCCCCTCCCAGGACGGCCCCGCCCACCGCTGGCCCCGCCCCGAGACCCCGCCTACCGCCGGCCCCGCCCAGGCTCCGCCCCGGGAGACCCCGCCCATCTACGGCCCCGCCCACCGCCCGCCCTGCCCTGCCCCCCTCCTATGGCCCCGCCCACCGCCGGCCTCGCCCAGGCCTCACCCCGGGCCACACCCCGGGCGACCCCGCCCACCGCCGGCCCCGCCCCCTCCCAGGCTCCGCCCCGGGAGACCACACCCACTGCTGGCCCCGCCCCAGGCGACCCCGCCCACCGCCGGCCCCGCCCCGTGCCCCGCCCCCCGGACACCCATCCCCTGCACCCCTGGCCAGGGAATGCCAAACTCGGGGCTACCGGGCAGTGGAGACCTGGGCGCCCAGCAGCCCTGGACACTCTGGCCCTTGGGGGGCGGGGAGGCAGCAGGAGGGCTGGCGGGCTCTCAGAAGGCGGGGTCTCCCCACTGAAAATGACCCGGGAGCACCGCGCGGATGCGCGTGTCTCGTGGCGCCCACGACGGTCGCTGCTGCGGCGCTGTCCTCGCTCAGCCCGGGCAGGTGCCGCCCCAGCACGGCCTCTCTGACCCGTGTGGCCTGGCGCTCGGCCTGGCCGCCCGCCTCTGCCGGCCCCTGGGGCTGTCGGGGCAGGGGGAGCCTCCCCAGGTCTCCCCGCCCTGGGTCTGGCCATGGATAGGGGCGGCTGGCTGAGTCCACTGCCGGGCTGTGCCCGAACAGCGAGTCCCCAGCCCGGCAGCCGAGTTCCCAGGGCGGTGGGAGAGGCGGCCAGGGCAGCGGCCAGCAGCCCTCGCCCTGTGACAGCCTGGGGGGGGGGGCACCAGCCTTCGCTGGCTTAGGCAATCTGGACGTCTGGCCATCTCCAGGGGGAGGGGACACATACCTGGGTGGCCCCCAGGGCAGCTCTCCCATGGCCGGGGGACACTGCGACCCCGGGCCGCCCGGCGGGGTAGGCTGAGCCCAGCGTCCTGGGCCGTCTTGTCACAGCTGCCTGGAGACGAGGACGAGGACGCCCTGTCCTGGCCAGGCACGCGGCTGGCGGGAAGGGCTGCACTCGGGCCAGGGTCCCCAGCAGCGCCTGCCGTTGGCAGCAACTGGCCCACCTCGGTGCTGCCGGGAGGACCCAAGGGCCCGGAGCGAGGCAGCAGGAGGCGCGGTGTGGTCAGCGTGGGCTGCGCCGTTACTGCTGCTCTTGCCGCCCTGAGAGCCAGAAGCTCGAGCCTCGGGAAGCTCAGACAGGCCCAGTCACACCCCGGGGCGCGCAGCGGACGGCCGCTGACCACAGCCCCCAGCCCCCAGGCCAGCTGGCCGACTCGGCCCTGAGGCTGGCAGACGAGCAGCCCAAGGCAGAGCCTCACCGCGGCCCCGGCCGCTGAGCTGCGAAGAGAGGGCAGAGTCAAGCCCTGCGTGGCCCCAGGACCCCGCCCCTGTCGCGCCCCCCCGCCCCCCCCAGGGGGTTCCACGCTGCCTCCGGGTAGCCAGGCCCCACCCTCCTATGGGGCGCGCCGCCTGGGCAAGGGAGGCACTCACTACTCTCCTGAGCTGGGGGCCCTCCAAGCCCCAGACCTTTCCACCCGCAGATCGTGGGCCAGGCCGGATAGGCCACCTGGTCCGCCTGGACCCCACGACAGTGGACGGGAGACGCCGTGCTCCCCAGGAGGGCCGGCCTGGACAGAGTTCCCACCTGCAGGCGGGCGGCGTCTCAGGGTTCAGGCTCATCACCCCACACCACCTGGCACCCGCCTGGTGCCAGAGCCAGCGGTTTCTCCTGGCTCCTGCCCGAGCAGTAGGGCCGGAGGCAGCCCGGAGGCCCGCGGGGCTCACTTCTGGTAGTGGACGGCCCCCGGGCCCCGCAGAAGGCCTTCACCTGGTCCAGGCACTGCCGCGGCTGATGGAAGGCGGGACCCCTGTCTGGCCCAGGGCACTGAGATTTCCCCCCACCACCCCGTGGCCCCCCACGGCCCCCGGCCCCGGGGCGCGCTCACGGCGTCTCTCTCCTAGGGAACCACTCGGGCGTGGTCCTGAGCATCAACTCCCGCGAGATGCACAGCTACCTGGTGAGCTGAGCGCGGCCGCCAGCCGCCGCCTCCCCGTCTCCCCCGCGGAGGGCTCCAGCCACAGCCCGCGGGGTGCTGCGCCCCGGACACCTGCGGAAAGCGCCCCCTTCGCTGCCCCACCATGGGTGGCACAAGCCCCCACCCCCCCACCGTCCAGCCCAGCCCGAGGACACAGGGCTGCTGGGAACCCCTCAGGCCTGCCCGCGGCCACCTGGGCTGGGTGCCTCGCCTGGACCCCGGCGCGGGCCCCCAGCCGAGACCGACTCAAGGCCGAGTCTGGCCCCTGCAGACTGGCGGGGCCGGCCAGGCGCCGCGTCCCAGAGGCCGACACCACACCCGCTCTGGCTCCTGACCTGCGGAGCGACCAGGGGTCCCGCCGGCTCCCTTCCTCCTAGCCCCCGTCCCTCCCCAAGGGCAGCCGTGCGGCCTGGCGCCGCCTCCAACACAGGAAGGCCTGAGGCCTGCGCCCCAGGCCCGCCAGGGCCCCTCGCGGAACCGCTTAACCTGCAGAAACTGTACATACCTCCCAGGTAGCCGTCTGGGTTGCGGGGAGGGGCGTTCAGCTGTGCTGGGGCCTGGCCGGCGCCCCTTTCCAGAAGCCATGCTCTCGGCCCAGGGGCCGGCGCCTGCACCCCCCGCAGCGCCCTCCCACCAGGCCACGGCTCGGGGCCCCTCGGGCCAACCCGGCGGGGGAGGCCCGGCCACCCCAGGTGTCTGTGCTCCCCGCTCACCGGGCCGTGTGGAAACCCGGGAGCCGGGTGGGGCTTCGTTGGCGGGGCCGGGAGGGCCTTGGCTGCTGCTCCTCATTTTGAAGAGTAAGAACTGAGGCCCAGAGGGGGCGACTGCCCAAGCCCCCAGCACAGCGACGTGTGGCAGAGGCCCCAGAACCGGCCTCGCTCCGTGCAGGGACACCACTCACGCAGATGCCTGAATCGTGTGCCAGCTCTGTCTGCAGGTGGACACGCAGTGGACGTCCACCTTTGCCTTGATGCGGAAGTCAGTAGCCCCCCCCCCCGCGCTCCCCCCAGTACTGAGCTGGCCCAGGGCCTTTCCCCAGAGACCAGAACCCCAACTAGGGACCAGTGTTGGGTCCAGAGGGATGCCCCGCAGACGCTAACCCACTCCCCAGCCATGAGACGTGCCCGTGGGGAGCACCGGGGTGACGCTCGGCCCAGGCTGCAGCAGCCTCTGTCCGGGCAGGCGGGAGCTTCCCGCCACGAATGGGGCTGTCACACACAGGGACGCAGCGGTCACTGCGGCCACGCGGTGGGCTGTGCTTGCTGCTGCCCTCCTGCCCATCCCGCCACTGGGACTCCTGGGCCCCCAGAACTCAGCTCGTGTCCTCGAGGCCTCCTTCGGGGAGCCCTGCGCCTGCCGTCCACCCCATCTGTCTCAGCTGCCCCATCCCGAGAGACACACGGGGAGTCTCCTGTCGGCACGTGCGGGTCCAAGGTGAGGGCAGCACAGGCCCCCTGGACACTGTCCCCCAGCTGACCAGGGCCCGCGAGTGACCACCCCACCCTCCCTGGCCACCAACTTCGTTCTGGCCACTGTTCGGCTCGGGCTTTTCTTCCCTTAGTTATTTGTGTTTTCCTGTATTTTATGCTATTATTTCTCTCAAGCGCTTGGGTGTGTGGCCCGAGCGCCTGGGAATAGGCGGCGTCTGCTACAGCTTCGCGCAGCTCCGTCCCCGTAACCACGCGGCTCGGCCCGTGGGGCCATGGCTTTCTCTGCATAGAGCCAGAGCGTCCGTGTGCTCGACGTGCAGGCCCTGGGGTGAGGCGCGCGGGCACCCACGGGCGGTGCCCAGGGGCTCGGCATGTGCCCATAACCAAGATGCGGTCAATTCTTTCTTATTTTCCCTTTTTAAAAATCAATAAATCATTTGTGATGCTTTTAACAAAGATCAAGTGAATACGATCAGCTCTCGCCTTCCCGCCCACATTCACGACCTGCATGTACCGCAGGTGCGGCGGGCCGGGCGCAGGCGGGCCCTGGCCTGGGGCGGCTGCTGCGGGTCGAGGGGCGCTGGGCCTGGGACCCGCAGCCCAGGCAGCCTCGCCCGCCCTTCCAGGGCCCCTCCCGGCCAGCAGGGGGCGCAGCTCTGCCCTTGCCCGGCGAGCAGCCAGGGCCTTGGGCTCGGTGGGTCTAGGGGAGCAACTTGCCACCAGATGTCCCTGGGCTGCAGATCCCCTGCACCCAGATTCCAGGCCACACCTGTGGTGCTCAGGCCTGGTCCTCCCCTGTCCACCCCGTGTCCAGCTGCAGTGCGGCCGGGCGAGCACACCTGCGTGCGCATGTCTGCAGGCCACTCCCGGGCCTCGGCTGGCGACAGGGGGCCTGGCTGCTGGTGTCACCACCTGGGACAGCATCTGAGGACCAGCTGGACAGGCGCCTGCAGGGCCCTGGCACCACGCGGGCACCTGCCTGCTTCCCCAGCTACGCTCTCCAATAGTTGCGCCTTGACCTGAGAGCTGCCTCTCCCCCGCGAGCCCCGTGCAGACGCGGTTTCTCCGAGTCCCTGCCCTTGGCCCTGGGGTGAGAGTGAGCCCACCTGGGCGGGGCGTCCCCTCATCACAGCCCAGGGGCCGCAGGTGGGCCGCGACCCCGCCCCTGGGCGCGCAGGTGCGAGCACCCAAGCCCCCGTAGCGCGGGCTCGCAGATGCCGGCTGCTGGACACAGCTCCCCCGCTCCCATCCCTGTTGCTTCTCGCCACACGCCTCCACCCACCAGCAAGGCCTCTGCAGCCCGAGAGTGGGCCTGGGGCGCCAGGTGCCGCCGCCGCCAGAGAACAGTGGGCCGGGACTCGGAGGCCTGGTCGGAGGGTTCAGCTTTATTAGTAACACACGAGGGTCGCGCCGAGGGCGCCGGTCTGTGGCCACGCCTGAGACCGCGGAGGGTCCAGCGAGGCGACTACAAAAGGGGGGGGGGCTGGAAACCGCTATTTCCACCGCAGCTTTCCGCTGATAAAACTTTTTACTTTCTGAATTAAATACATTGAGAAACGCAGGGAAATACATATTTACAGCCCTTTAAAAACGGGCACTGCCAACATATTTAATTAAAAAAGTCTTCCCTGTTTCTTGCCTGTTTCTTTCAAAGAGAATTTTAAATATGACTTTAGTTTTTAAAAAATACAATAAGGAAATAATTACATTCTTAGTATGAAAACATGTTACAGCTGGTCCGTGGCCGGGCGCGGCGGGGGGCGGGGGGCGGGGGGCGCGGCGGGGGCGGGGCGGGGCGCTGCTGGCCGGAGCAGATGCCCGGAGCATCGTCTTGACACCTTTGGTCCCGAGGAGCGTCTGCTGGTCCAGTTTGAAAACATCTTCATGGCGAATGCTGGGGAACCCCGCGGGGCTCCCCGGGAACAGGGGGCGCCCTCCCGGCTGCTCCTCCCTGGGTGCGGGCGTGAAGCTTGGGGGCTGCCTGTGCTCAGCCTTCCACAGCATCGGCCCGGCCCGCCCGGGCGCGGCAGCGACAGAAAGCACAGTGGCCGCGACCTGGGCCTTGTCCAGTCCACGATGACCCCAGGGGCGGGCGTGGGCGGGCGAGGCCGGCGCGGGGGCCTTGGCGTGAGCTGGGTGCCCGCGGCGGGCCGGGAGGAGCCAGGAGGGGCGCAGGCCGGACCCGCGGCCCCTGGGGCCCGAGAATGCGCCGAGGGCGTCCACCCCCTTCCCGAAAGGAAGGACAGGCGTGCGTCCGGCCCTGGCCCTCGCCCAGCCTCGGGAGACGGGACGCAGGGCCCATCCTGCCACGACTGAACACATCCCAGCGTTGGCGGTGCGGGCCGGCGGACACGCGTCCCCTGATGGGTGTCCCCAAAGGCGCCTCCAGCCCGGGGGCAGCCCTGGGGGCTCTAGAAACTGCCAAACGTCATTCAGGGACACGGGCGGGGGCTTGGCCGTGGCACGCCTGGTGGCGTCGCCCCCGGCGGGGCCTGGAAGGAGCCCAGGGCCGGAGTGCGGAGGCCAGGACCCCGACGGCGGCTGGGCAGAGGCCGAGCCCCCACCTGTGGCCACGTGACAAGACGCACCTCAACCTGGACCGGTGTCCTCGCAAAGGGCCGCTGGGTGACTGACAACACGGAGGACACAGAAGTGCAGGGACGCAGAAGGCGGGCACCTCGCGGAGCACGGCCAGGAGCGGCGGCTGTGGGCGATTCCCAGGGCTCTCACCCCAGCCACACCCACACCGCAGGCCAGGACCCCGGCCGCTGCCACCCCCAGGCCGCCCACCCGCCAGAGGAACGGTGACCGCGGCGGGAGCCTGGCCGGGCGGGTGCGGGGCGCGGAGGCCGCTGGTGGTCGCTCCACTGTGCCGCTCGTGAGCCCCAGGAGGGCGCCCTCGGGAGCCGCCGCTGGTCCTGCCAGAACTGACCCGTCCGGGTGTGTCCAGTATGTACAGACATAAATTAAAATCTATCTTTATGGAACATATACAAATAAATAACTTAGTTTGAAGCAAACGCTTTAAACGAGTTTTCTTATCAAATCTGAGGACGCGGGGTGGGGGCAGGCTGGGGGCGCAGGCTACGGGAGGGGCCCAGGCTGGGGGTGCCACAGCTCCTCCCCCACATGGAGAGGCTGGGGCTGATTGGCTCCCCATCCTCTTGAAAGGCCTCTGCTTTGGAAAGTGGACGGAGACCTGGGTTTTAAACACGGACACAGGCACCAGGTCTGAAGGCCACGGCACCGAGTGGCTTGTCTGTGGGCACGACTGGACGTGGGAGGACCATGTGGTGCCCCTGTGGCTCCAGGTGCCACCTCCGTGGGCTGCCCACCTTTCCCTCCTAAGGCCCCCAAGACTGGCATCTGCTCGGGGAGCCGGGCCTCCCCGGAGGCCGCAGAGAACTCTGGGACATTGGTTTTTCCTCACAGAAACGGCTCCCTGTGGCCCCGGAGCCGCCTCCCAGGATGCACAGCGCGAGGGTGGGTACAACCCCCCACTCACGTCTGCGGGAGGCCACGTGCTAGCTAGCCGGCCGGCGGCTCAGGGGCCACTCCCGCCCACCCAGCAGCCGCCGCAGGGCAGCAGCCGGTTTCTGCAGAGTGGCCGTGGGCGCGGGGCTGCCCCTGACCTGTGAGTGGCCAGACCAAGCCCAGGATGTGAGGGCCACAAAAACAAAAACAACTCATCTGACCAGAGAGGCTGCGGCGGCCATGGGGCCTGGGTGGCTCTGACCGCGGGAGAGCCCGGGGGCTTCCCGTCTGGATGCCGCCAGCCATTCTGGATGGTGGCCACAGGTGTCTGTGGCAGTGTCTCCCCGTTTCCGGTGGAAGGGCTGGTCCCTGGTGTGGCCACCCCTCGGGGCTCCAGGCGCCTGCCACACCCTGCAGTCCCGAGGCCCCTCTGCAGTCGAGGAGTCAGTCGGCCCTGACCCAGGGCGCAGCGAGCCCTGCTCAGCCACTGGATCGGCACCAGGAGGCAGACATGGGGTGCCACTGGCCCACAGACCCCCAGGGCGCAGCTTCCATCTGCAAACTGGAGGTGGGGCGGGGGGAGCCTGAGACCCCAGGGCTGCCTCTTGTTCAGAAATGTCATGACTCCAGGACTGGGCACTCTCCAGACCTGCTGCCCGGCCACCAGCCATGACCAGGCAGAATCAGCGGGGTGGAGCCGCGCCGGGTGGGGGAGAGGGGTGGGTGGCACCGCCAGTGGGAGGGGCTGTGGTGAGGACAGGTGGGGCGGGACGGGGTGTCCCCGGGCATAGCCCTTGGCCCATGTGCATTGCACAGCTAAGAGCCACTTTTGCAAGTTTAAAAAGTGCAGCTCTTGACACCCTCGAGGCAGCAGCATCTGTCCAGAAAAGAAAATGCTAAAAAGGTGAAAATGCTTCACAGCACGGTTTCTCCCACTGTCACCTCTAGTGATGAGGGGACGGGCGTGGGGGGTGGGGCGGTTCATGCTTCACACACAGCAACAGACAATCTGGGCCCCGGGGGGCCTCGGCCAGGGGGACGGCCCGCCCAGGGCCCTGCGCCCCCAGGTGGCCGCTCGCAGGCCGGGGTGGGCTGGGCTGAGGCAAGGCTGGCATGACCGTGGTCCTTGCACACCGCCTCGTCCGCCTGTTTCTGCCCCATAACAGGCAGACTGAAGCTGGCGCACGTGGCACTGTCCCTCAAGGGTGCCAGACAGTGACACCACCTGGTGGCCGGGGCGCGGGCCTGGTAGGCGGTGGCCGGGGCAGCTCCTTCCTTAGGTCCCATTCTTCAGCTCCCACTCCTGCAGGGGAGAAGGGGCGCTGGTGGGCACGCGGGCCAGGGCAGGCGCAGGTTGCAGGGCCGGGTGTGGGGGTGCAGGAAGAGCGCCCCTAGGGTCCCCTGGTGGAGGATCCAGGCCGCGAGGATGGAGGATCAAGCGCCTGGTCCAGCCGCCACAACACTAAGTGGGTCGGAGCAGTGGGAGGCCCCTTGCTTCCCAGTGTCCAGGGAAGGTCTCCGCCTTCCTGGGGGCCCTGATGGGGTCCAAATATGGGAAGAGGGGGTGATCCCCTCGGAGCGTGCAGAGCAGCCCCATGCCGAGGACGCAGGGGGACACAGCCTGCCCACCTCCCCGCTCCAAGGAGCCCGCGCCTGCCTCACCTTGGCCTTGCGCAGCACGTGGCCCCGGCAGGGCGAGCTGCCTGAGGCCGGCGGGCCTTTCTTGAGGCCGGCGGCGCTGTTCACCGGCACGGGGCCCTCCGCGTCGCTGGTCTCGCAACTGGACAGGGGCGAGCTCTCCAGCGCCCGGTGCCTGAACACGGGGGACTGTCCAAGGAGAGAACCTGCGTGAGCGTCGGCTGCCGGCGCCTCCCACAGGGAGCTGGGGCGTGGAAAGGCGGGCGGGGGTGGAAACGGGCGCCAGTAGCACACGGCAAGGTCCACCGCGTGGCGCCTGCCCTCAGGGCCCGCACACGCCCGCCCCACACGGGAGACCAGGCTCGGGGCACCCAAGCCGCCGCCCCCCGCCAGCAGCCCACCTGCTCCTGGCCCGGCCGAGCTACCTGCGGACTGGAGGTCCCCGACCGCGGCTCGATGGCCAGCCCCAGCGTGATGCCGCCGGCCAGCGCCTTCTTCAGGCTCTCCTTGACCTCCGTCAGCTCCAGCTCCAAGCTCACGCGCTCCGCCTCCTTCTGCTTGCACTCCTCCTCCAGCCGCCGGAGCTTGTCCTCCAGCACCACCTGCGTCTTCCGCCCTGCAGCCCCGAGAAAGGCGCGTTCCGGCCACCACGGTCTTCGCCCGGAGCCCGAGGGAGCCCGCACGGCTGGCCGCCCGCGCGGTCCTTTCTACAAAACTCAAATTGGCCGTTTCTTTAAGGGAACAAAGACCTTTGGCTGCAGCGGGAAGAACATGGACGGGGGCAGCAGGCTTGACGCTCCCACAGTCCAGGAATTCTGGGTCGGGGCCCGGTCAACTCATTAAAAAACCCTGCTTGCTGCGGCAGGACCCGGGGGCGCCTGAGCCTCTCCCGTCACAGTCCTCGGTGTCCTCCTGCCCCGTCCCACCCGCCCTGGGCTCAACCTCCTGCCCCACAGCCAAGGAAGGCCTCAGACACGGTCTTGCTCTCACTGAGCCTGCTCGGGGGCCGGGGCAAGTCCCACCGGGAGGCCTCCAACCTCCTCTGGACAGCCCCGCCCTGTGCGGACACTGCCTGCTCACTGGACATGGGACTGGTCTCTCCCGCACCCCAGGCCCCCCTGCGCTCGGCACCTGGGGCCAGAAGGCCTGCAGCGACAGCCGCCGCGCTGGGCCAGGGCCACGGTCCCAGCCAGGAGCCAACTGGTACCTGCGTTGACCTCGATGGCGGCCCGCAGGTCTCTGCGCTCCTTCCGGAGCTGGGCCAGCCTGTTCCGCAGGCCTTCCTTCCTCCTCAGCAGCTCCTCCTCTCGGCCCTGCAGCCGCTTGGCGTCTGCCTCCACACGGTTCTTCCCGTACTTCTGCTGGTCAGCGTCTGCAAGACGAAACACAGCCGGGCAGCAGGGACTGGTGCACATGCGGGGACACCGGAGCCCAAGCAGTTGACCAGAGCAGCCACCCGCTGGCCGGGGACAGCGTGACTCTCCAACGTCCTTTGCTTTGTCAAATTAAACCCGAAAGCAGAACTGGACGTTCCCTGACACGCTTCCCTCAGAGGCTGGCACTGGCAGTCCTCAGGGAGCACCTGAGTCCAGGAGCAGGGAGGTGTGTGGACAGCAAATGCTAATCTCTCTCATGCCGGGGGGCGGGGGCGGGGGGTCCCTCCCGCCTCTCCCAGCGGGCTGGGGGCGGCTCTGCGGTGGACGTGGCCCTGTGCGCTGCTGCCCGGCCGAGACCCCTCCCCCACGAGGCCCCCGAAGCCCACGCCTCTGCGCCCAAGCAAAGACGCGCTCGTCTGCAAGGCAGCTGCTGGCATCCAGAGCCCGGAAAGCAATTACTTTTCTCTCCTGTCACCGTTAGATGTCACCAAAGTTAATAAAAATTCCCTACAGAAGGTCTCATAAAATAAAGGGGCAAATCATCTAGGAAATGAAACCGACGCAAGAGCCGAGGGGGGCTCTGTGAGCGAGGCCGGCCCCGCCCCCTGCCCCCAATGAACAGCACTGAAAACCCTAAGTGGATAGAGATGCCCTGCGCCAGGCACAGGGTACCCACCAGAGAGCCCGATCCCAGTGAGCCAGCGCCTCCCTCCACCTGGCAGGAGCGGGGACCCGTCCCCACTGGCTCCTGATGCCCACGCCGCCCGGGGCTCCCCCAGCACGAGGACAGGAGCGCCCCCACACACGGCTGGCCGGGCCCAGAACAGACTCACTGGAAGGCGTGCGCTTCACGCTGGCTGCCGCCTCGGCCTTCTTCTGCTGCCCGCTGAGCGTCTTGGCCTTCCCCGGGACCCCGTTCGCGGCGGCGGGGGGCTTCTTCCCCTTCACCTGTCGGGACAAGCGCCAAAGGGAGTGAACCACAAACGAAACACCGGGGTCTCTGCTTCTGCAGAAAACGCTCTCAGCCTGGCCCCTCAGGCAGAGCCCAGCAGGGCCGAACGAGGCCGTTCCCCACACGGAGCTCAGCCGTCCTAGCACCAGGAAACCCGCGGCGTCCTCGGTGTGAATGCGGTGCAGGGATGGGCTCCGGCCGACACCAGCAGTGCTGCTGAGGGGCAGGCGCCGGCACGAGGCCCGGGGAGCCAGCAGTTGATCAGAGCAGGAGGCCAGAGAGGGAGGCCCCGGCTTCCCGGCGAACACGAGCCGGCCCAAGGGAGCAGCAGGCGAGAGCGAGGACACAGGCAGGTGTGACTGAGGTGCCAACTCTGGACCCCAGCATCTGACTGGCTGTGTGGCTCCTCTGGGGTATGAGGGCTCGGCTGGATAGCAGAGAACGGGGGGCTCCCAGCTGGCCCTCTCCCAGCATCGCCTCGCTGCATGTCCAGTGCCAGTGCCCGGGTGAAGGACGCGCACGCAGGCCAAGTAGCCGGCGGGTGACGAAAGTGAAGTCCCCAGGCCCGCAAAGGGCGCAGCAGAGCACGCGTCTCCAGCCCACCGGGGCACCCCCAGTGCAGATCTGGACTTTGCACCCAAGAGGCTCCCCCAGCAGGAAGAGCTCAAGTCAGCCTCAGGTGCTTGGGAGCCACAGGTGCACCCAGTGATCTGGACAGGCCGTCAGACATGGTGGACCACGGCCCACCCAAGGACGCACCCCCTGGGCCCCAGGCTTCCCGCGGGTCCGAGCGGCCCGCCCTGCACATCAGAAACGGGAAGGCGCTGCTTCCCATGCGAGTGCCTGGACCACGGGCAGAGGGGCTCTGCCTGCAGCCAGCACCTGTGGGGCCTCTGCTCAGAGCCACGGCACAGAGGGAGAGCAGGAGCAGGCGCCCGAGCCTGGCATGGCAGAGCCCCTAAATGCAGAGCTTCGTGCAAAGCAGCAACACGTCTGGGGTGGAAAATGCATGAAAGCAGAGAGTAGGTACTGAGCAGAAAGACTGCTGTTTGCCCGAATAGGGGCAGCCTGGAGGTCAGGGGGAGCGACCCCCCAGAGGTCACCAAGCCGCTACAGCTGTCGGGCTGAGGAGCGAGGACGCCGGGCCCGCGTCGTGCAGCAGCTCCGGCTCACCCGCCCCCACACAGTCCACGCTGAAAGCAAAAAGCAGCTGAGACTCGGCCGCCCTGCTGCTACTACGCGGACACGGCGAGAGCTGCGTCCAGAGCCACCTGCCCGGCCCTCAGGACACAGCTTGGTGCTCGCCTGGCGACACGGGCATCAGCAATGCTCAACCCTGATGGGTGGTGTGTGCCGCCTGGCTGTTGCCCGGTGTGGGCGGCTCTGCAGATTGCACTTGAACTGCACCAAGCCACTCCCCTCACCCTGATGGGCCTCCTTTGGGTGCCAGTTGGTGGATGACCCGTCATAGCAAAACTGCAGCAGGACTGTGACTCAGGCAATTCTAGAACAGCACAGGTGAGACGCGGTACCTGGGGGCCGGGCCCGAGAGACGCCCTCCCCGCGGAAGAGGTGTTAGTGAGGCCGCGAGGCGGGCTGCGGGAGCCGGGGCGCTTGTACTGGTTACAGGGCGCTTTGTCAGCAGAGAGCCTAGAAGCCTTCCTGTCAGCAGGCGGGCAGCGTGCAAAGATTTTCGGAGACGGTAAGTTATCGTACAGGCCCGCGTTATCATAAAGCACCTCTTCTCCCGGGCCTCGGCCACAGGAAGCTGGAAAGCCATCTTCCGGTCCCCACTGCAACACACACAGCTGTGGTTAGTGCCGCGCCGCAGAGAGCAGAGCAGATTTTAGCACCCCGAAACATGCACCCCGCGGGCCCGAGAACACAGAGCATGCTCGCGCGCACGCAGGCCGGCTGACCCCACACTGGGCTGCTTTGGGGCAGACGGAAAGGTTTCCCTTTTTGTTAAATTGTTCCCAGGGTCCCTGGCTTGTGAAGTCTTGCTTTCTGTTTAAGAAATAGATTGATTTGTCATTTCTTTCTTTCAAGAACCAGCTGGTGGAATCCCCTGATCCAGAGAGCAGAGCCGGGGGACTGCAGGAGGGGAAAGCAGGGCCGGGCAGGGCCCCCAGAACAGGCCGAGCACGGCATCGGACGTGAGCGTGACCTCCGAGCTCTGGACATGTTTAAGCTGCAGACGGGCCTAGAACCCGCGCAGGGACCTTCTGGCACAGGCAGAAGCTGAGGCACAGCCTTCGGTCTGGGGTGCTGGCAGCTCGCCGCCGCCAGGCTCCCCGCGGAAGGGCCATGCGCGGGGCAGACCATGAAACAGCAGCCCCGCAGCCCCGCAAGCAGCCATGCATGTGGGGGCCTTACTGTAGCAGCAACTTTCCACAGAGGCCTGAAATAGCCGCCAGTCACTTGAGAGCAGGGCCGCAAAGCATAAATTAAAACCAAACCAACACCAAGGCCAGATCCTTTCGAGTCTTAAAGGGGTTTATAAACTGCCTTGTGTTATTAAAAAAAAAAAAAAAAGGCAAAACAAGATATTCATCCATGAATTATGCCTCTTTCCCCCTATTTTTACGTGCCTGCTGCCGCGCCCTCCTGCCAGGCTGTGGCCGCAGCCTTGTTATAAAAACAGAGAAGGTTTAAAATTTCACACCGGTGCTGTTCCTGAGCAGTCACTCCAGCGTGTGTATCTCCCGATGCGGGGCCTGCCCGGTCTAAAGTTGCAGATGAACGCAGACGTGAGAGCTGGCGAGGGCCAGCTGGCAGGACGAGCCCACCGCTGCGCAGCCTGGGCCAGGGTCTCCTGAAACACCCAGGGCCCGCGTCACACGGGACTCAAAAACGCCCACAGAAATGCCATCGAGGTTTCTAGAAGGACGTGGGGGCCAGCAGGTCCTCTTGGGAGCCTCATGGCCTTCAGGCACGGCGGGGGTGAGGGGGCACTGCTGGGACGTCAGGGGGCATCACAGAGTGGGAACTCCCTATGACGGACAAGCGCGGCCTCCATTTTTTGATGATCAGGAGTTCCCGGCCACTTGGGCGCAGCGTGGGCTCAGGGACAGCCACCCACAGGGGCAGTGGACACAGGGTGAGCTGGACGCCGGCCCGGCCCAGCCCGGCCACGCTTTGGGTCCCCCATGTGGGCTGTCGCCAGAACCCGGACGAGCTGTAGGTGCCTGGGGTGGGGTCTCGCACACCTGCAAGTGCAGCCTCTCCAAACCACCTGGTGCATCCACTGCTCCCGCGGCAGGCAGGGGAGCCCTGGGGAAGGAGGCATGAGAGGGTGTCCGGGCAGAAGGCTGAGCTGGGCTCTCGGGCTTCACCTGACCTAACACCTGCCGCCCGGGCAGGACCTGAACCCCCCCAAAGCAGGAGGCCCCCAGGACAGAGGCAACATCCTCCTCCTATCGTCCCCCACACCCAGCACGAGCCTGGACTGGCCCCAGGGCGGCACAGGAGGCAGGCCCCCAGGCAGTGTCACCAAGGCCTGGACAAGAGACGCTGGGTCCTGACTTGCTGGCTGCTGCCCGGACGCGAGTCTGTATTTCCTGTTTGCATCCATGGAAGGGCCGGGAGCCCTCGGCCCTGCATCTCCCTCCACAGGCCCCCTGGGCCCGTCTCTTGAGGGCTGGGTTTGAGGACAGGGCGATGGGGATAGTGCCAGGCCCACGCAAGCTCCTGGCATCTGTCTGGGCCTTGGGGCAGCGACCCGGGGCCATGTGGTCTGGGGCCCCTGGGGTCCCGAAGCCGTCCTGGCCACACCCCTGATGTGGCTGTGAAGATTGACCGGGAGTCAAGAGCTCAGGCCGTCCTCCTGACGGGGGCGGGGCTGGCATGTCGGCTCCTGCCGCTGGGGACAGCGTGGGGGTGTCGCGGCTGCTCCAATGCAGGCAAGACCAAAGGCTCATCGGAGGCCAGGAGGCCACCGGGAAGTGTGACCCCTGAGTGTGAGTCAGGAGCTTGATTTCACGGGCCGAGCCAGGAGCTCGGGACGTTCCGGGCGGCTCTGGGCACAGCTGCCGTGGTGGGGCGGGGTGGGGGGCAGGGGGCGCTCACCAGGCTGTCCACGCAGGGCACGTCATCGTAGTGCAGTGCCGTCCCGCTGGGGTGCGCGTAGCCGTTGGAGGAGCTGCCCAGGTACGGGCTGGTGGACAGGACACGCCTGTTCATGAAACTGGGAAAGAAAAGGCGTTAAACCCCCAGCACCGCGAGTCTGAACCAGCTCTGCAGGAAGGCGCAGGGCCGGGGAGTGACGGGACGGCTGTCTGGGGACCCAGGCAGACCCGGGGTGCCCGGGAGGGCAGGGCGGGGCCCTGAGAGCAGACACGCCGCCTGCACCCCGCGGCAGGGACAGGGTGCCCACAGCTGGCCCACAGGGAGCATCGGGGCTCCTGAAGGACCTCATGCCCGGTTCTGTTACAAAGAAAGCCTCGGGGCACAGGCCTGGACCCTCCTGTCCCCGCTCCTGCGGCTGCTGTCCAGGTCTTCACTGTCAGGTCTTCACTGCCCGAAAATCCTCAAAAGACGCCCGCACAGTTGACATCCTCTCTCCCGGGCCTTTTCAGGGGTAAGTTGGCGAGTTCCCTTCTATAAGCTCATTAGAAGGTTTATCCAGCAGGCACTGGCCAAGTTCCCGGGGTCCCCTGGACGCCCTACCCCTCGGCCCTGGACCTGAGAGCCTGTGACGACAGCCCGTGCAACCTCTCAGAAGTCAGGCCAACCTCGCATCCCTACCGGCCTGGCCCGCCTCTCCCAGAGACCCCATCTCTAAGTCCCCGTGACGATGTGACTTTATTAAGGGGCCCTCCTGAGACCCACAATAAGCCCCTCCTGCCCCCCCCCACCCTGTCCACCTTCCTCCCCTGTCCAGCCACAGACACGGCGGAGCAGGCGGACACCAGAGCGGCAGCTGCGGAGGCCCAGGTCAGGCTCCCGCACACACGTGTCCAGGCCGCTGCGGCGCGAGGGGCCAGGCAAAGAGCCGAGAGAGTGGGAGGGCGGGCGGGCGGGAGAGTGGGAGGGCGGGCGGGCGGGCGGGCACATGACCGGCTCACTCACAAAGTCCTTTCTCACAGCAAAAAACGCAAGTGCAAAATACACACTAGCCAGCATTTCCTCCAGGCTGGGAAGACTAAAATAGCCTGAGTTTAAAAAAACCAAATTTCTCTTTTTCAAGTCTGCTGGGCACAGGGTCTGGCTGTTCTAGGACTGCCAGGTGAAGGGGAGAGTGAGGAGAGAAGGGGGCCCCACGGGGGGGGGGCTCTCGCGGAGAGGGCACCAGGAGGGGCGTCCCGTGCAGGGTGAGGGGCTGTGAGGGCGCCCACAGGGGTAGGGGGAAGGCACCCACCCAGGCGCCATGGACGCAAGCACCCCGGGCGCGGCTGCCCTCTGCTGGCCAGACGGCTCCGCGGGCCAGTTCCACCTACAATGTCTAAAATGACTGTTTTTTTTCCCTTGCTGGCGGCCGGGGAACGAACCGGCGCCGCGGAGGCTGCGGGCAGCCTCGCAGCCCAGCGCTCAACCGCTGCGCCACCGGGGAGGCCCCTAAAACAACGGTCTTTTTTCTGATTAAAAAAATATATGATTATTTTCTACTTAAAACACATGAAAGTATACGTAGGAAAATAAAATGCACAAAGAAATAAAAACCACAAAAGAAACTTGATGTGTTTGTAAATACTTAAGACTCTCTACCCTAAAAGTCTCCCTTGAGGGTATTTGGGGTGCGCTGGGAATACCATCTCTGCGGGAGCAGGGAACACAGGGAAGCCCAGCCCCTGCACCCCGCCTGCCCTGTGCCAGGCCCCAGGCAGTGTCCCGAGCCCCTCCCATGGTGGGGGCCTCCACCCCGCAGGGCCGTCCGCTGCTCTGGCTGTGTTTGCAGTTTCCGGCCAGTCCTGGTGCTCCCACGGGAGAGAGGATGCTGGGGGCGAGGGCAGAGCCCCCAGGACAGACCCCGCAGGAGGCGATTCATGCCTGACCTGAGCATGGAGGTAGCAGGCATGGGGTCCTGGCTGGAGCAGCTCAGCCACCACCAGGCTGACCCCTCAGTGAGGCTCAGGGGGTGTCGGCTCTCACTGCGGCAGGGACATCCTAAGTGGACCAGCATTTCCCCCTCCTGACATGCCCCGCTCGGGCCCTGGCAGTTACTGGGCTGCCTCTGTCCCTGGTTGCGAGGACAGAGCCTGAATGCCCCTGGGGTCCCTGGACTTACTCTGAGAACCTTTGCCATCATTTCGTCAAAGAAACATTCAAAGTCCAAAGGAACGTTTTTCTACCTCAGCCTTTTTACACAAGTGACAATTTAAAATGTGAAAGTACACGATCGATGGCTTTGAAAGCCTCTGAAATCCTCACCACAGCAACACATGGCACTGTCTCTGCCACACGGACTGTGGCCCTGAGATAGGGGATAGCCCACGGCTGAATCTGGCCCACGGCCCGCTTTTGTAAATAAAGTTTTATTGGAATACAGCCCGCCAGTCATGATGGCAGCCCTGAGCCAAAATATTACAGGAAAAGCTTGTCAATTGCTCTAATAGAAACCGCAGATGAGGCTGGAGAATGAAGACCAGCGAAGTTCGGTTCACACGGTCACCACACAGAAGCAAAGCAAGAAAGGACACCCCCTCCTGCGGCCAGTCCCCCGGTATCTCACCAGAAGGTCTGCTTGGCCGTCTGGATGACGCTGGCGGACATCTCCACGTCGATGTAGTCGTAGTGCAGTGCCCCGGGGTCTGTGGAGGACCCCGTCTCGGCCAGCAGGATGCCGATCCACCGGCCCATGTCCTCGGAAGACGAGGCCTGCAGAGCAGAAGGGCGAGCGCACTTCACCTGCCTGAGGGTGACGGGTTTCGCTGGTCCAGTGACCGTCCGTTAGCCGGACATGAAGTCCCCAGATGAGGAGCTGCGAGGGGGGTGGCCTGCGCAGCGCCGGCTCGGTGGGCCTCACGGCCGGCTGAGCGCAGGGTGTGGGCACCCACGGGAAGGAGGCTGCTGAGCTCCTAAGTGAGCTGGTGAAAGGACCAGGCTGGCGGACATGGAGGACCGCGGCCGCTGGCCCTCTGCTGCAGGGCTGCTCACACACCAACCTGGTCGCGGCACGTCGGGCACGAGGAGGCGCCTGCTGCTCTGCGCCCCCAGTGCCCGGCCCGAGAGCAGACCCCGCCATGGCGGGTGGGAGGCCCCTGTGTGTCCAGGGCCGGGTGGGGCAGAGCAGCCTCGGGGGTGTCAACTCCCTGATTTTGAGGATTGCGCTGCGGTTCCCATGGGGAATAAACGCCTTTGTTTTGGCAAATACACGCGGACGTATCCGGTGACAGGGCTGCGACAGGTCTTTAAGTGGTTCTGAAAAACTAGCGAGAGAGTGGGGTGGCCTGGGGCGATGGGCGAGGGGCACAGGCAGGTGGCAAAGAAACTGATTTTGCCTTTTTTCCGCTTCGGTTAGTAACAAGTGCTAGAAGAGCAGCCAGAGAAGCAGTAACACGTGTTTGGGGCCGAGGGGTTTTAAAAGCAAAGGATCTGCCTGGATCCCATGCAATTGGCCTGCTGTCCACTGTCCCTGTCGTCCACTGTCCACACTGCCTGCTGCCCACCTCCACAGGGGCCGCCCACAAGCACCTGTTGCCCCGCGGAGACGGTAGGAACGGCCCGCAGTGCCCAAGGGAGGCGCCGCCCCCAGAGGGAGCCCACGGCTCGGAGAAGAGCTACTGGGGTTGAAGGGAAACAGCTTTCAGAGAACAAGCGGGGGCTCCCTGGGGGCCTGGGAGTCAGTCTCAGCACTGGCACCGCCGTGGCCTGAGTGTGACCCCTGGCCGGGAGCTGACCCACAGGGCACAGCAGACCTCTCCTGTCTCCCGCTGCTGCCCTCAGCAGTGGGTTTCCGTGGATCCGCCTGTTCTGCTCCCCACTCTGTCTCTGGTGACTCCTCTCAACCCCGCACCTCTGGCCTGTACCCCAGCTCTTGTGCGCACACACACACACACACACACACACAGCAAACAACCCCAACAGGGAAGGGGCATTTTGCACCCACAAACCACGCCCAAAGCGGCAGCAGGGCCTCCAGCGGCAGGTCGGGGCGTGGGGACCCGCGCCAGGGCCGAGGCCGGCGGATGGGGGCAGCCGGTCACCTACCTCCAGCACAGCCACCTCCTGGCCGTGGCGCAGCAGCCGGAAGGTCAGGGGGTGCCTGGAGTCCAGGCCTGGGGTGACCTCGCAGCCGCGCAGGGGGATGGCCACCACGTGGGTCTTCAGGTCCGTGCGGTCCTTGTGGACCACGAGTGCGCCGTCCTTGACCCTGCACCAGCGCTCCCGCCAGCGGCTGTTGGACAGCACGTTGAGGTGGCCTGTGGGGGAGGTGGGCGTCACTGGGCCAGCGGGCTGGCAGGGCCCCTGCTGCACCCCAGGCTCCTCGAGGAAGGGTGAGGTGAGGGCACTGGGTCTTGCACACCATGTGCTTTCAATGCAAGTCCGTGGCCAGAGGGGCCTCTCTCCCAGGGGCTCTGGGCTTCTGAGAGGCCACCCAGGGCACCACAGGAAGGGACAAGTGCAGGAGCCTGCCCGGCCAGGGGTTTGCTCTTAAGCCATTGGGACTGGGGGACAAAGTGTGCCCCAGGCGAGGCTAGGGGCTGGGCTCAGGCCAGGAAGGAGCTGGCTGAGACCGAAGCTCCAGGGACGCAGGAGGCAGAGGTGGGCCCAACACGCAGGTGGCCCACAGGCCCGGGTTCTGAGGCCCACGTCCGCGTGGTCCACGCTGTGCTGACCCTGGTCCCGGCCTCCTGTCTGCAGGGGAAGCTGCCTGGGAGGCCCAGCCCAAGTCTGGCCGAGTCTGAACGTGGTGAGCCGCGGGGCCGGGGCCTGGCCCTGGCCCTGCGGGGCGCCCTCGTGCAGGCATCTCCCCCGCGAGGGACTGCATGCAGGGCTCCTGCGTACAAAAGGAACAATCCTCAAATGCAAAAACGGATTACTGTTTTCCTAAGTCACAAATATGAAATGTTTTTCCGGAAACAATCAGGCAAGAAAAATAGATCCTGCTGGGCCCTGGGAAGGCCAAGCATGCCTCGCTGGAGTCACGACCCCAGAGGCTCGGGGAGCGGCGGCGGTGACGCAGCCGGGAGGGCTGAGGACAGGCCTGGCCTTTCCTGGCTGGCTGTCTCCCGTGGGGTCCCAGACCCGAGGCCTCTCCCAACTCTGCTCCGACCCAGTTGCCACGGCAGGCCCATCCCGGCGTGCCTCCCCGAAGGAGTGGACGTGGGGGTCACCGTCCCGAGAGCCTGACTTCTCTGCAGTCACCCCAGCTCAGCCCCCTCCCCCAGGCATGCAGATTCCGGAGGGACCGGGGCAGGCCTGTTTCCCGGGCCGGCCAGGCGACCCGGAATCCTGTTTGCTGGGTGGTGAAATGGAGGTGGGGAGCTGAGGCAGAGGCCATGCAGGCAAGTGGGGGGCCCCCTGACTTAGGGAGCTGTGCCGCCTGTTCTCTGGCCCAGGCCGCAGTCTGGCAGGTGGACGCAGCGCTGCACACACCCACCTCCAGGTGGCGCCAGCGGGCAGCGCCCAGCACCCCCCACCCGGACCCCCAGAGCTGCGCTGCCTGGCGCCTCTCCGAGAAAGGCGCTCTTTTAGGCCCCGCGGCACAGAGGAGTCACTGCACCTCACGCTGTGGGGATGTCAGGACTGAGCTCATGCTCACTCAGGTTAAAAAAGAAAATCGCCTGTTTCCTGCAAATGGGCGGCAGGAACGCACGAGGCGTCGTTACGGTGACAACACCAACTTCAGACACTCTGTCGCCCCCCCCAGGCCCTCCTCCCGTGACCCCCGTCACACCCTGCTCCTGTCCCCCCACCCGAGTCCACGGACGCTCGGCCACACTTGCGACCCTGCTCTGCCCGCGGCCAGGGGCGGGCGTCCGGTCTAGAGACGGCGAGAGGCGTCGGGGAGGCCTCCAGGGTCACGGATTCGATTTGTTTTTCTCACAAAGGACTTTCCTGACCGTGCCAGACCCCCACCGCGTCCTTTACTAACAAGCAGCCGCGGGGCATTCCCGGGGCCAGGCCCCCCGCAGGGCCCGCTCACCGCAGGTGGGCACGTCCTCCTCGGCCGACGAGGTCTGCTCGTCCGTGGACGGCTTCTTCTTCCCCAGACCTATGATCTTGGTGATCTTCTTCCCGGTGACCCTGGAGACCGTGCCCTTGGCGTCGGATTTGGAACTTTTTTTCCTCTTCACTGTCAAAATAGCGACAAGCACAGAGAGCACATTCTCATCACGGCTTTAATGGGGAAACATGAAACCCACAGAAGACAGAGGCTGCGTCCCCGCACTGTACCCGCCGAGCAGTGGCTGTGGCCAGGGAACCCTGCGGGGACAGGCTCCTGGGGCGCAGGCCCTGGGGTGTGCACAGCACACGTGCATGCCGTGCACACAGACACGTGTGCAACATGTGACCACACCCACACGTGTGCACCCACAGCCACGCGGTACCCGTGTGGAGGCATGCCTGCATGTGCGTGTGTGCACGTGTGTGCCGCCGTGCACGCACTCTCACTCCGTCTGTGTGGACACAGGGGTGGCTGCACAGCTGCACAAGCGTGCACGAAGGTGGTGGGCTGGTGCCAGCACCCGGGGGGCTGAGGACGCCTCAAGGGCACTGTGTGAGGCTGAGGGGGCACTGCTGTGTGGTCAGAGGGCCCCTCACGCCACCAGGAGCATCTGAGTGACAGAAGAGGCGAAGCAGGGACAGCCTGGCCATCCCGGAGGGACAAGGCGTGCGAGAGGGGTCTTCCTCGAGTCCTAGCAGCCCTGCAGGCCCCCAGCAGTACTCAAAGACAGGCGGCCATGGCACTGGGATGCCTCGGGGTGCCCGGGTGACCAGGCTGCCCAGCTCCGGACGCCTGCCTGAGTGTGCGGTGGGCACAGACTCACCTTGCTCTTTGCCATTACACGCAGTAGAGCCATTTTCCAGGACACCCTCCCCGTCTGAGCTGGGCCTCTCTGAAGACAGCTTCTGCAAGGAGAGGAGGGCCCGCGTGAGTGTGCCTGCGGCAGGCATGCCAGCCGAGGGCAAGTCCCCTGGGGGTGGGGGTGAGGGAAACGCACAGCCAGGGGGCACTCGGGCTGCAGCGGGAGCCGGAGCCAGGGGGACGCTGAGTCACACCGTGCTTGGGCGCCACTGGCCTTCCACGCAGCCCGCGGCCTGGCAGAGCTCTGAGAACATCCCCTGCGCCCGGCCCACGTGCCCTTCGCTGCCCCTCCACCCCGCCCTTCACCACTGCCCGGGCGAGGCCAGGCTCCGCCGCGTAAGACTGCTTGGCCGCCCTGCCGGCAGGCCCCCGGGGGCCTCTGGGCTAACGCCGGGAGGTGGGCAGGACTAGGTCTCTAAGCAGGCACAGGGCAGAGAGAAACGAGCATGGAGCCGAGGGCAGGGCCGCAGCTGGCTTGCTGGGAGGCCCCAGGAAGGCGCCAGGCAGAGCCTGCGGCGTTGAAATACCCGACCTGCGCGCAGGCGTCGCTCCTCAGGGAGGCCCCGGACCGGGACGGGCGCCAGCACCTTTAAAGCCCTCCCTCGTGGGAGCAGCACACACACCGGGCAGACGCCAGCGCCCACCTTAGCAGAGGGCACCCTCGGGGCAGCGCGCCGGGAGCTGCCGGGTCCTCAGAGGAGTGCGGGAACGCGGGGCTGGCACCCGCAGGCAGGGCACTAGGGACGGCCGCTCACCTTCTCCAGCTCAGCCTTGTGCACCGGGGAGCTGGAGCGCGGGGCACCCTCTGGATCCGCCGGCCCTCCACTGCCGCTGTAGACGTCCCGGATGACCTAGGGAGCGGACAGAGGCTGAGAGCAGTGGAGGCAGGGGCAGCGCGAAGGCAAGCAGCGCCACGGCGAAGTCCTGGGGCCCAAGGCACCACCGTCACCCCCACGTGTCTCTGATCCTGGCACAGGTGTCGGCTCTAGGACACTGCGGGGAGAGACACCCCAAGAGGCCTGAGACGCGGGGGCTGCACAGGAGGCGGGGCTGCACGGGAGGCGGGGCCCTGCGCTCGGCAGGCGCAAGAGGGTCGGGAGAGGGCGCGGACAGCTGGCCGTTCACCCAAGGGACACAGGTGCATTTGAAAGAAGCGCGAGCAAGAGGGAGAGGCTGCCACTCAGCATCCCCTGCGCGTGGACGGTCAGCGGGAACTCGGCAGGAGCCCTGGGCCCTGGGGCTGCCCTGGGGGGGCCCCCGGGCCCTGGAGGGAGCCCTGGGCCCTGGGTGATCCTTGGGGGAGCCGGGGATCCCTGTGCTTAGGAAAGAGCAGAGCAGAGACCAGGCCTCAGGGCCAGGGGCCTTTGCCCAGACGCAGCCCCCTCTCCCGGGAGCTCCACCCTGGGGTCGGCGACCAGGGCTCTTCCTGGTCATTTTCATGAAACTCTCCTCTGCTCTGATCGCCAGTTCTTGGCACCAGAGCTGAAACACCAGGGGCTTGCGCCCACATTCCTTGAATCGCTGCTGTTAGGTTTGATATTAACAGATTTGTTTCCAAGAGCGTGTTCCAGAGAAGGTCAACGCGCAGTTAAGAGGACTGGCTCCAAATTCAAGGTCTCAGATCCTTCAAAAAACAAACTGTTGCATGTGCTGTGGTGCTTTGTTTGCTTTTAACTCGAGCCCTCATCTCCAGAAACACAATCTCTGCACATTTTTTAAGGAAACCCAACCCCTTCATTTCTGGGAACGGGGCGCCTGTCTTCTGAGTGACCCTGCAAAACGGCTCATGTGTTCACATCTGCCCACACGCACTCACACACACGCACATGCACACATGCACACAGTCGTCCTGCAGGGCTGCAGGCAGGGGGCGCTGCAGATGGGCAGGAAGCGGCCCCGGCAGTGGGCCCAGAGGCGCGCGAGGCCCGGGCGAGGCTCACAGGGGCTCTGCCTGCACACAGGCTGTTCCCGTCGCTGAACGCGGACTGCAGGTTAGGATGATGTGGGTCAGAGCCGTGGCGATGGCTAAGGACTCGCACACCCACGTAGGAAAGCTGTTGGTTTCCCAGGAAGGGCGGCATCCAGGCAGCACTGGCAGATCACTTCCACTCCAGCTGTTTCTCCCAGCTGTCGGCGGCATCTCGGAGCTGCCAGTCTGCCTTTCTGGTAACTGTGGCCAGCCTCACTCCCCTGACGGGGTAGAGGGTCCGTGGGGAGCCCTGCAGCCTTAGGCCTGCGTCCGGGTAAAAGAAGGGCCGCTTCTCCCGTGGTCAGTCAGAGACCACAGAGACGAGGGAGGGCCACGGGCAGAGCTTCTGGAGAAGGGACAAGCGCGCCTCGGTGACCCGGAAAGCGCTGGTGTTTGGGTGGCACAAAGCAAGAAGCACGAGTCACTGGATCCCAGCGAGTCCGCGCATTGAACGGCACGGCCCCTGAGGGCGCCTGTAACTCCTCAAGGCAAGGACAGTGAGAGGAGGCGGGCGTCTTCGCTCTCACAGGGGCGTCAGCTGCAAGGGAGGTGGGTGCCTGGGGCGTGGGCGCTGCGCGTGGCGTGCAGACAACACGGGGCTCGCAAAGTGCTGGAGACAGACCTGCCATGCCCCAGTCCCACCCCGGCTGCTCCGAAGATGCCAGGGCACACTGCCAGGGACACACCCCGTGTGGTCATTGCGGCGCGGCCCATGCGGCCCAGTCGGGGACAGCTGAGCCCGACAGACGCACAGGCGAGGAGCGCGGGGCCCAGCCGTGTGTGTGTGCGTCGCCTGCCTGTGAGGCCCGTGCACGCATCTCTGCATGAGGACAGGGACAAGCCCTTCGTCACACAGATGGAAGTTTGTATGTATCCTTACGTGAGACAACGTAGCATGTCTGTGTGTGCGCGCAGGGACAAACTCTTCCATTTGGCTAAAATGTGGGTCAGGAGCAAAGAAATGTAGCCTTGGCTGAAAGGCACTGTCTGGGCGCGGGCGGCACCTGTGGGGAGGCTGAGAGTTTTGCATTTCCATTGCGGGCCCCTCGCCCCCGGCAGCGGTCTCCTGGCTGCAGTCGCCCTGGGGTTCAGCTCCTGGTCAGTTAGGTCCCTCAACCAGGACCCACCCCACGCTGCCTGCGGCCAAGCAGGGCGCGCAGGTGCCAGCAGGGAGAGGTCGGCTGCAGGGGGCATCTGCACGGCCGTCTCCGAATAGAAGAGCGTCCTTCCCACCAGCGGCCACACACACGAGTAAGAAGCGAGTAACAAATGACTCTCTAAAAGCACCCCAGGTCCTGGCGCCGCTCAGCTCTGGGTAACAGTTGCCTTCAAGGAAGGCAGGGGATTAGGAAGGGGAGTCACTTGTCAGTGAGACCTGCGGCATTTTTAGATCCTGAAAAGAACAAAAGGTACAAAGGAAAAAACATTCTCAGGCCCCCAAGGCACCTGAGTGGCTGGGAATCTACGGTTTTAAGTGTCCAGGTGATCCAGGGAAGGCACCGATCTCGCGAGGGAATCTGAAAGAAACTGGACCGTTTTAACCTGCTGCTTTAAAAACTTAAAATCCCACAGCAGATGGGCTGGCACTGGTTGGCCGCCCGCTCTCACTGCCTGGGCGCCTCGGTCCCCAGCCGGCACCCCAGGGGCGGGTACGGGACGGACCAGGCCGGCTGCTACGGCAGCGCCAGCAGCATACAGAGCAATACAGCGGCTGAAACTCTCTAGGGAAGATCCCTTACCATGCACTTCCTACTCCTCTTTTAAGACATATCAGCAAATGCTAAAGCAGTCGTTCTATACTTAGCCAGGCACCTCTGATCTGTGAGGGCCTCACATCTGGCAAACTGAAATGCGAGAATATTTCACTCCACCCACATCTGGCATCTTAAGACAGTTTTGTCTCTAGTTGTCTGTGACTCGCCACCCTCAGCGGCACGCAGCTCCGCGCCACTCCTCAGAGGCGGCCCCGGCAGGGCCCTGCAGCCTCCAGCAAGCCAGTCCTGGTCACCAGCAAGCCAGCCCCTCGCCCAGGCACGCGAGTCTCGAGGCGCTGGGAGAGCCGAGGCAGAAGGGGCTTAGGCTTCGAGGGGCTCCTCTGGGCTCCCTGCTGCAGGGAGCAACACGTTTACCAGTGTGCAGGGCCAGGTGGGGTCACCTATGGCTTCGCCACCCCCCTCCTCACTGCAGGGATGAGGCCCAGGCCACCAGCACGAGGGACAATTCCAGTGACTGCGAACACACTGGTGGGCCCTGTGGCACCCTGCGCACTGCAGTGCCACCTGCCGGACCTGCATCCGCCTCTCAGCAGCTGCTGCACCCCGGCTCCTTGTGACACGGCAACAGATGCCCACCTGCTTTCCCGCCCTCGCTCAACCCTTCCCTCCCAACAGGCAGCGGCGGATGGAGGCCCTGGTGGTGTGAGCAGCTCCTGAGGAAGCGCAGCCACCACGCCAGGCAGGCGAGAGACCAGAGAGGAGGCACTGGACACCGGGGGCATTGGTGGGGCCAGGGGCAGCCTGGAGGCCAGCGCACACCTAGCGCAGGTCCCAGCAGGCACCAGCCGCCAGGACGGAGACCCCACGAATGAGAACCGCTCCCCCTGGGGTGGTGGGAATGTTCTGGAACGAGAGCAGTGGAGGCCACACACACTGTGCCATCTGTGCATGCGAATCAGACCTCAATGAAATCATGACTAAAATGATCAAAATACTTTTTTCCAAACACACTGAGCAGCACTGGCACCAGCTCGCCTGGCAGCGACAAGACAAACAGCACAAACAGGACAAAGCAACAGATCACAGAGCCAGGGCTGGACCCGAAAGAACCACTTCGCACAGCCTGGCCTGCCGAGTGTGTGCAGACGAGGCCACATAAACACCCGCGGGGGATCCAAACCCGTAAAAGACTGATGTTTGCAGCTGAAAAAGAAACAACTAGAAATTCTGGAATTGAAGACTACTGTCGCCAAAATTACAAACTCAGGGAAGAAGAACAAACTTTTTGGCAGATTAGACACAGCTGAAGAGAGACAGAGCGAGCTGGAAAATAACGAGGGAAAATGAACCAGACCCCCTCGAACACGCCCCCCCAAAAGAGAGTAAATACAAAGAGAATATGAGAAAGAGACTATAACTAAGACTAAGATATATTTAAATGCAGCTGAGGACAGGCAAGTTAGATTTTGGGAGAAATGCTGAACACTTTTTCAAAACGTAGAAAGACGATAAATCACAGATTTAAGAAGCCAAGGGAATGCCAGGCAAAATTTTTTTTTTTTTTTATAGAGGCATGTTCCATTTATTTATTTGTCTGCTTGTTTGTTTGTTTATGCATACACGCCGCACTGGGTACAGTCAGAAGCGCGGGAGGGTGAGAGAATTCACCAGAGCCAGAGCGGGGAGCAGAGCAGGCAGAAGGACCGAAGGACACTGCTGAGGGGAGCAGCGGGCGGCAGGAGAGGTCTGCGCGCCATGCGGGACCCTCCTCCGGTGACCAGGGAGCAGCCGGGGATCGAACCGGCGCCGCAAAGGCTGCGGGCAGCTTCGCAACCCAGCGCTCAACCGCTGCGCCACCGGGGAGGCCCCCCAAAAAATTTTTTTACATCCACACCTGGACACAATAAAATGTAACCAGAAAAGTCACAGCAAGAGAGAAAGTTCTAGAGATCCTGCAGATGGGAGGCAGACCGCCTTTTGAGGATGAAAGTAAAAATCTTAACCTCAAAGTCCTCAGAACACTCCACTCTCCAAGCCAGGACTATTGGAGCCCCCCTATTTTTGCCTGTGCTTGAAAAAAAAAAAAACAGCTTAAAATAAAAACGGGCCCCAGAAGAGGACTGGACGACGACACATACCTTCAGCCACTGCTCGGCCTGCTCCTTGCTCTGCACGGCCAGGACCAGCGGGTCTGTGCCCTGCTGGGTGATCTTCAGCTCGTGCTTCTTCTTCTTGCTGTCCTTCGGCGTGTAGGTGACGCTGCAGCCCTGCAGGGGCAGCTCCATCTGCGGCTGCTGGTCCTTGGAGCTTTTGTAGCACTGCATTGGGCAGACGAGTAAAGGGAGGTCACGGGGAGTGTGACAGAAACGCCGACAAAACCCAGCGTGGTGCCCCCCACCCCGCCCCTGGCACAGCCCCCGGGACCCCCACAGACACAGGTCCACCTTCCTGGCACCCACTGCACAGCCGGCGCGCACGAGAAGCCTGCCCTGCAGGTACGGCGGCTCCAGCCGGCTTGTCCTGAGGTGCCGTGGGTGTTAGGTTGGCGCTGCCTGGCCCTGACGGGGGGGTGCGGGTACACCTGTCTCCTTTCTAGTGCTTTCTGGAAGGCAGACGGACGCTCTCGTGAAGAGTGTAGAGTTCACCCCCAGAGCACAGACGCCTTCCAGGTCTGCCTGCAGGAGAGGGGAGGCTCTGATGCTGCTCCTTGTACACGCAGCTGTCCCTGGGGGCCCCGGGGGGGCTCCGGTTCCATCCGTCTCAATCTAGTCGGTGGACCTGGGATCCAAGCTTCATGCAAAGGCTCCATACCCCGTTTTTATCAGGTGCATCACGGAGGCGCAGCCTCTTGGTGGGAGCCCAAGGTGTGAGGGCAGAGATCCGGGTCCTGGCCCGTGACTCACTTAATCCCGAGCTTCCGAGGCTGTTTCCTCACTTGTAAAGTCAGTTGGCGCCGGGACTGACAACACGTCACTCAGGACAATGACATCGGCTACCAAGCACCGAGCCCACAGTGGAAGAGGGTTTGCCTCCCCGCCACTCCTGTTCCCCTTGCGTCTTTACCACCCCCACACCTCAGGTGCCTCACACAGACGTCCGCTGGCCTGCAATCACTTGGCTCTGTCAGTTCACCTGCTGGGATCCCTGTTTCACACAAGAGCTCACGCCTGTCTTTGGCACCTGACCTGCCGTGCTGCACATGACCCCCTCGAGCGCCACGCATTGTGCTGTAAAGGGCCTTCCATCTTCAGGGCTGAGTAGTGTTTTGGGGTGGCAGGACCCTATCTTCTTGATCCAGTCCTCTGTCCACGGGCACTTTTCACAGGTTGTTTTTGAATGAAAAAGCTTCACAATAAAAATGACTTGGCGTCTGTGCCTTATCGTGGGGGATGCTTCCCAAGGCTTTCCGTCCACTCTTCCTAAATACGCCCTGCTCTAGACGGCTGCCGCCTGGCTCTCCAGACGGGCGTCTCCTGGGAGAGAGGAGGACGGGGAGCCGCGAGGCGGGCAGGGGGGTGGACGCAGCCCCACAGCTGCCCCGGGACAGGCTGGGCGCCCCCGGCACGTTTCTCTGCTGCTCTTCTAAATGGGGGCCTATTGTGTGTTTTAATCATTTCGACAACGCAGCCACATCTTGCAGCCATTATGTCAGACTATAAATGAGGACCACGTTCATCGGGGTTTTTCCCTCATTCTTTCCTTTAAAATTCCCCCATGGCATCATTTTTGGCATATTCTAAATTTGGGAGCAATTCAGGCCACGCATGTGGAAAAAATATGTAGTCTCTGAAAAATTTTTGACAAAACCATTAATTAAAAAGTCTGCAATGACCTCAGCACCCAGTGCAGGCAGCCCTGTCGCTCACGCCGGAGCGGCAAGCGCGGCTGCGCACCAGGGGCACCGTGGGCCGCTCTCCCGAAGGTTAACTTGGAGGAAAACGAAAAGCCCAAAGAGCGCAAGGCTCCTAATTCTGATCCTCTAAGGAGTCGCTGAAAGCTGGGGGGGGGGGGGGGGCTGGGGGCAGGGCAGGGAGGAGTCACCCGCCTCAGACTCTGCCTCCTGAGAGTTGCCCCCTCTCTCCCTGGCTACTCTCCCGCCTCCCTGAAGAGAGCAGCTTTCAGTTTCCAAGCGCTTCCTTCCCTTTCCTGCCGCTCCCCTGCAGGCCTTGCAGGGCTGCCCCCGCCCCTGCCCCCCATGCCTGGGCTCCGAGGAATTCACTGACTCACAGGGAGGAAGTCGGCCAAGCCAAGACCAAGCCAAGGCTCCTGCGTCCGAGGACACGCGGGGACGCCGCTGGGCAGGAGAGTCTGCGCGGCCACTCGAGGGGCCCAAGACGTGCGCTGCCCCAACTGTGCCCACTGCCGGCGAGGGCCTGCTGCCCGCTGCCCAGCTAGTGCCTGCCCCACCCGCCCGGGCCCGCCGGAGGTCTGGCTGCTCCCCGTGGTGAGGTGACACCCCGCTGACGTCCACGCAGGACGCTCACCAGCAGCTTGGTGTCCTTGACCACACAGAGCAGCTTGGTCCACTGGCCAAAGCGCTTCTTCCGTAGCAGGAAGGCACAGATCTTGGCGTCCTTCACCAGGTCCATGGAGGCCTCCTCGGAGGGCCACTGGTGCCGCGTCTTCTTCCCCTTCCCGTCCTCCTCCTCTTCGTCGTACGACTCGTAGGAGCTGCTCATGGCGTCCGAGTCATAATCTGGGGGAAAGGAAGGGGATCCAGCTGCAGGGCCTTTACCTAGAAACCCCCGTCAGCTCAGACCCGCCGGGTTTGCATGAGTGTGCAGGGAGGACATGAATGAACAGAAATAAGGAGAAAACAACACACCTGGGCAGGGGAAACTAAGTGAAAAGCTCTAGATGGAAGGGACACAGGATCACCAAGAGGGTTGGAGAAGTGGTTTCTAGATGGTTCTACGCAGGTTGACATGCTTCGGGCAGTGCGTGTGGGAGCCTTGCCAGGCTCCGCAGGGCCTGCACATCCTCAGCCCGTGTGCCTCTGCCACCGAGGCTCCCCCCCCCATGCCTGTCCCCCAACCCCATCTCGCCATCCAGGTCTGTGCCCCCTCTCTGCACACACCACCACACGCACAAACCCTCCTTAAAGCCCCGGGTCCAGCCCCCAGCCCCTCGCTCTCAGCGCCCGCAGGACCTCAGACACAGGGGTCCTTCCTCTCCCGCAGCCATCAGCACCAAAGGCGGGAGTGCTTTCATTCCCCACACGCCTCGCCTCCCCATTCTCCGAGTCTCTGCATGGCAGCCCGACCCCACACCTGCCTTTGCCCGAAGGCAGGCACCCCTCCTCCAGCATTTGATGGACACCGCCTCCAGCAAGCCCTCCTGATTCACCAGCACAGGCAGCCGGGGCCCAAGTGCGTCCTCCAAGCTCCTGTTATGCAGTTCTGACCCCAGTGTCACTGTGTTGCAGATGGGGCTTTTAGGAGGCCGCTGAGGTTACCAGGGTGGGGGAGAGGGCCCCAACCCCATAAGCAATCTGGTAAGAAAGGGAGGGCGCAGCGCAAAGGGGCCTCACATCCCACCTAGGCGCAGCCAGACCCCAGGCTCCAGCCTCTGGACCGTGAGAAACCAGGGCCTGTCTGTGGGGGCTGCCTGCCGCGATTCGGAGTGAAAAGGCCTCCTCGGTGCTGCCGCACCCCAACACAGGCTCACCCCCGGATGGCCACTGCCGTTTTCTGTCTTCTGTCTCCCACCGAAGCCCCCGGGAAGGGAAACCACCTCGCTGGACGGGCCGGCCCCAGGGTGCAGCCGAGTGCGGTGCGGGCAGGCGCACGTGGAGGGCAGGGCGTGGCGTGGCTGCCGTCAGGCCTGCGGACACCCGGGGCGGGGCAGCAGCAGGGCTCCCTGAACAATCTCAGCCACACTGTCACCCTCCCAGGCAGCGGGACACCCCGAGCCCAGGCCCGCGCAGCCCGTGCCCTGCGCATCTGAATCCAGTGCCCTTAGACACATAGTTGAGGGGTGTATGGGGACATGAGGGGCGTGAGTCACACCCCGTCACTCAGAAGCAGTATTGACCCCTCTAGCCTGGACTCTCACACGGTCTCAGCTAAAACCACATCTGTGCAGGGCCCACTGGGCTGTCGGGGAGCACAGGCCCACCGGGCTGTCAGGGAGCACGGGCCCACCGGGCTGTTGGGGAGCACTGGGCTGTCAGGGAGCACGGGACCCACTGAGGCTGTCACAGACGTGCCAGTGACTGGAGGTGGTGGCCCCTGTCTGACCTGCAGACCCGTCCGCCACTGCCCTGCGGGGGCCGGTCCTGCCCGCAGGGACCAGGCAACCTGGCCACAGACTCTGACGAGGGAAGCCACAGGCTGTGACTCAGGACCCTGCTCTCACTCATGCCAGCAAGCGCCGAAGGCACATCCCCTCTGCAGGATGGGGGCCCCGCTGGGCTTCAGACAGAAACCATCCAGGGCCCTAAACTAGATTACACCCAGCGTCCAGCCCTGAAAGTGCTGAATTTGAAAGTGGGTGCCAAGGAGGAGTCGCGGCCTCTGAGGCCCTCCAGGCCTCTCACCCAGCAGCGCCTTCCGGCAACCCCCGTGTGACTCAAAGAGAAGTGAAGCCAGAGGCCGGCTCCCGGCACCCATCTGCCATCACCATGCTGACAGCCGCAGCTCCCAACCCATCACAGAGCCACTTCCCACTGGCCCAGGGGCATGTCCCTGTGCTCACACAGGTGCCCGCAGCAGGATGGCCATCTAAGCGGCCCCAGCACCCTGGGGCCGGAGACCTCACGGCCTCCTCTCTGGCTTCCCGAAGGGCCCTCTTAAATCCTTGTGTGACGCCCCCCATCCCCAGAAGGGGGCACCCTCCCGCCACCCAGGCCGGCTGCAGCAGGTAGAGCCCACACTCACTTGAGGTGATGTATTCTGGAGCTTTCCCAGGACTCAGGGGCACAGCTTCCTCGTAGTAACCTTCGGGGAGCGAGGATGTGGGCAGCGGTGGAGGCCCGCTGTCGGGGGGCTGCGGGAGGCAGGAGGACACAGAATTAGGGGACCGTCGGCATTTCCAAGTACCAGGCCACGGCCAGACTTCTTCCTCCTTGGTAGAGCTTTGGCCAAAAGACCACCATCCTGGGAAGAGGGTCTTAAGTCCAGCCTCTGAGATCCCCTCTTGCTCACATGCACCCCAGCCTGGGCCTAGCCACACCCCTCAAAACTCCACACCAACCTGGGGCGGCTTGCAGCCGGGCCTGAGCTAGGCGTCGCCTAGCCACACAGCTCCCCCACGCCACTGACCCATCTACACCCAAGCTGACTTCTTCTGCTGTGGCCCGGATGGGGCGCCCCAAGGGCAGGCCTGCCCAGTACCCCAGGACCATCAGAGCGCTGTGGGGAGCAGCGCCCACCCTCACAGGGCTCCCAGGAAGCACGAGGAGCACTGTTAGCCGAGCTCCGAATGAAGCTGGAAATGAGTGTCTAAGAGGGAACCTGTTGCTGTTGAGAGAACCGCATGGCAGCTTCTTGATGAAGCTGGGATGGGGGCCCCTGCTGAAGCCGCAACTTTAGAGCAGGGATGAGGGGCAGGTTCTGAGCACCCAGATTCTTCCTGGCCTTCAGGCCCAGTGGCAGACGCCTTGCTCCCTGCAAACCCTGCTGACGGACACACACCAGCCTGTTCCCTAAGCGTCAGCGTCGCGGGAGGCCTCTTCCAGGGCTTACACCAACAGTACGGGCCTCAAGCTCCCCCAGCCCTGTGCTGCACTTCTGCAGCGGTGCAGATGGCCTCAGTGCTCCCCATCAGGAGTCCCCCAGACGGCCTGGTCACCCCGGGCACAGATAACTGCCTCTCAGAGCTGGCAGAGCATGGCTGGGCCCACAGGGGGAGCAGCACACCCCCCCTTCCCTCCTGTAACTGTTCACACGGCCAATATTCCAGAAACAACTGGAAAGCTGTTACTGAGAATGGAACGGAACAGCGGCCCCAAGCTGAAGTTAAAGTTCCAAGTAGAACAAAGTTCCAGAGAAAACTCTCAGGAGGTGAAACTCCACCACTTTCCATGGAACGCGACTCTGAGCCAAGGCGTCCTTAGGAATGGCCAATCCCCCTGCGAGCTCAGGCCTCGCCTTCCTCGGCCAGCAGCGGAGGCGAGACCCTCAGGGCCAGCCGCTCCCTCCGGGAAGGAGTCACCTCCCTTCCGCCCGCCCCTGTGCCCCTCCCTGGCTGCTTTCCCGGACCTCCTCAGACTGCGGTCGCTCTGGACCAGGTCCAGGTCCTTTAGATCTTCCCGAGGAGGCAGCGGAACCTGACCCAGGGTCCTGGGGCCCCTCGAGGCCTTCGGAGGGCCCCCTCCCCCTCCGCCCCCGCCCGCCCCGCCTCTGCTGGCAGCTCTTGGAAACGCTGTTTGAGTCACCGAGTGTCTCCATCCGAGATTGCGGCGTGGACACAGGCAGACTGCTCACGTCCGGAGCGGGGGCAGCTGAGTCAGCGGAGTGTCTCAGAGGAGACACAGCTGCCTCCGCCGCTGCGGCCAGACCAGGGCGCGAGCTGGGCCTCCCTGCAGGGGGGAGCCCTCGGAGGCCCCAGCCACCCCCCCTCACCCCATGGCCAGGACAGCCTCCCGCTGCCTTGCGGGGAGCCAAGAACCCCGCTGCCAGCAGTGCCCGCCCCTCATCCATGCGCGCGAACAGGGTGGAAGGTGGAGGCTTGTTGGGTGAGTCTCAGACAGCCTGTGCCCTGGAGGGACAGCTGGGGCCTGCCCAGCCGCCGGGGCAGGTGTCGGCATTTCCACAGCAGTCCCAGGGTGCCCGGGCCCGCGGGAGCACTGCGCCTGGACACGCGGGGCACACGCTGGGGGCTGACAAGGGCTGATTTTCTACATGATGCGTATTTAATATTCTTAAAATCAGAAAAAAAGTTAAACTATTTTCACTTTGAAGCAACATACCTCAAAATACAATTTTCAGAGGCGCAGCCTCACGGCTCCCCACACCACTGCTCCCGAATGCCTGCTCCCCGGGGTGCCTTGGCAGAGGAGCTGTGGCTTGTCGAGGACAACACGGGGCACATGGGGGGCTCACCTTCTGGGAACAAAGCTCACTAGTGCTTGTAGCTGTCAGGGAAGCGCCCTGGAATGCCCTCCCCCACCACTGGCGCGCAAGGTCGTGCTTGTGCCGCTGTGGGGCACACGGAGCCGCGCTGCTACCCCTGCCACGGTGATTTCAGCAACGCGCTTTGGAGCTTCGGCGCTTGTCCTGGGGCTGCCACGGGGACAGCATGGAGGCGTGGGCTTGGGTTATGGTTGAAGAGAGGAGGAAGCTGCCGCCGGGGAGAGGGGTGAGCTGGTGCCCCCACCCCCCGCCCGGGGCACCAGTGTCCTTTGCATGAGAAATATCAATAAGCCACGAGGCCTGAGCTGAGCAGACCCCACCGGGTCTGGAATCGCTGCCTGCCCGTGGGCCCCTGCGGTCCCTGCTCTCCCGGCTCCGGTGACAGCTTCGGGAAGGCAGAGGCCCAGTGACAGCCCCCTGAGACCGTCCGGGCCCCTGGCCTGCAGTCACCTGGCCACAAAACTCTTCTCTGGCTGATGTGGGCCCTTCAGGGCAGCTGCAGCCCTGAGCCCAGCTGGACTCCTGCCGGGGGTATCCGTGCGCCCGGGGAAGGGGCGCTGGAGTCAAGAGACCCTCGGCGGGTGACGACGCTTCACCGTCTGAACTGCACGGCCTTACCCTGAGACTGCTGAGTGGGCTTTTTTGAAAAATGAAAGCTTTTGTCCAAATCACACCCCATCCCATCCCCATCACTACTCGGCGTGCACCCCTCACTGCCTTGAGCTGACGCTGGGAAGACGGTCGCCCCGTGTTCCTGAGTTTCCACCAGTTTTACTGATGCCCGAGGAAGAACGAAGCACACGGCCACTGCCTCCCTGGCCGCCTAGGCAGCAGGTTCCACGGGGCAGTACGGCCCAGCGTGACCCATGTCCGGGGGCAGCCGCAGAGCGGGTCGGCATAAGGGTGCGGCAGGAGTCCTGTGAGTTTCCAGGCCGAGGAAGGGGCAAGAGAGCTCGGCTCACAGAGACACGCCTGGTCCCTGGGACCGGATGCCCCTCTCGCTTCCCTCTCAACTCCGCGACTGGCAAGACGCCCAGTTCTGTCTCTGGTCTCGTCTCACGCTCTCGCCTGCCGCAAGGAGAGCCCCCGGCTGCAGAAGGGCCGCGGGGAGGGCTGGGAGCGGGCAGGAGGCCCAGCTGGCATCGCTTCAGGGTCAGAGAGTGGTGGAGGCGGGCAAGAGTTTAGCAGGGCAGCATTTCCCTTTGGGAAGACGAGAAGGTTCTGGCACATGGCAGTGGGACGACTGGGAAGCATCACTGGATGCCGCCGTGCCGGCCCTGGAGCACATTGTCAGAGCCCTAGAGCTGGTAACGCTCCTGGCATGTGGAAATCACCAGGGCGAGGGCTTCGCTGCTGTCTGCTGGCATCATGAGCCATATTTCCACAAACTAGCGAATCAAGAATGAAATCACCGTCGTCCATCCCCTCCAAGCTCTCTCACCTGTTGTTGGAGACCATCGAATGGAAGCCACTCTGGACGGCGCCTGAGCAGGCAGCTCTCCCGGCCCAGGGAGTCTCCCCGAGCCGTGCTCACTCCGCAGGGGCCTGCGCCGGGCTGAGCACAACGGGCCACCTCGGAGCCAAGGCCCACACAGACTGAACCCACTTCTGAGTGAACCAGGCACTTGCCAGGCCCAGCAGCCCCCACACTGCAGGCTGGGGCCACACGGCCCGAGGCAGGGAAGGCAAATGGACATCTGTAGAGCATAGCAACTCCCCAAGTGGTATCAGGCGTCTGTGCTGGCCCCCAGCCTCCCTGGAGCCAGGCGTCTGGGTCAGGCCGCCGCAAGCTGCACCCACACTCAGCAACCAGGAAAGGCAGAAGTTAACAGCACGTAGAAACCCACACGACAGTGTCCCCAGATAAGAAGGAAATGACCAAGAGCTCCCAAAGAGTCCGACACGCGAGCTCTGGCAGAACATACCCTGCCGCGGGCGCGTCTCTGCTGGGAGAGCTGCGGCTCAGCCCAGAAGGGGTGTGGCAGCGAAAGCCAAAGTTCCAGGCGGGGGTTTCAGCTCCTAGCTAACCCAGGGGGAAGGCCAAGCCCCAGCGCCAGGTTGCTGCTTTGCCTGCTCCATCCTCTGATGTGTTTCTCATCTGACTGAAGACCAGTTTTCCACGGACCTGGCACTCCAGCAATTTCGGAGAGATGCCAGTCTCCGAAGGGGCACTCAATTACAGCTCCACTCAGGGGCGCCTCCGAGCTGGGCTGTCACCCACAATGCGGGACCCTGGGGGCGCACGGGGGTTGCCACTCACCAGCCACGGCTGCGGGATCTCCGGCAGTGGCATCTGGGGCGGGGCCGGCAGGCTGCTGGGGGCCTCTGGCTTCAGAGCGTGGTCCTTCACTTCCAGACCTGCAAGTGCCAAGCAATCCTATGAGGGCTGGGGAGGGGAAAGGTGGGTGGTTGCCCCCCTCGGTCCCTCGTGAACACGATACGATCATCATTTTCTGCAATCCTTCACAAGAATTCTGCAAGGCAGGGCTCTCCGTTTTACAGGGAGATTCTATAGGAAAAATAAATGAAAGGTTAAAGAGCTGTGGAGATGTGAGCAGGCAGGGATGGGGGGCTGCACCCCAGCGCCAGGCTGACTGGCAGAGACTTGCTGCTTCGCCCACCCTTCTCCTCAGGCAAGTGCTCACCCAGCACTGAGGGGCAGCTGCGTTCTTGGCTGCCCTCTCCCAGCGGGATCCTGTGGCAGACATAGTGCATGGGCGAGATATGGGTACAAGCCTGTCCCTCGGGGCACGCAGGCTCTGCTGAGCAGCTGTGCAACCGATGCCAGAAGACCAGGTGAGGCCCTGGGAGGCGGGACAGAGGAACACACTTGGGCTCGGGCACAGCCAGTTATGTGCCAAGAGCTCGCCTGGAGGGCCCTGAAGCAACAACTCCTCAACAGCCAGCAATGGGACTAGCATGTTGCTACAGGTGAGGAGAGACAGGAAAAGACAAAAGTCCCTGAGTCTGCAGAAATTGCAAGGGAGACACGGATTTTGTCAGAGAAGAGGAAACAATTAAAAAAAATAAAAGAGAACAAATTCTACCACTAAAAAAACATCTGCCACTAAAACAGTTGCTTATAGCAAGTTAAGAGCTGAAGAGAGACTTGGTGAACGGGAAAACGTAGGCAGGTGCGTCCAGAAGGAGCAGAGGGAGACAAAGGGCGGGAACCTGCAGAGGGAGGCAGAGAGGGTAGACAATGGGGAAGTGAACAAGTGCTCCCAGAGCCAGCCAGAGCCCCACACGCCTCACCATGTCCAGGTGGACAAGGTGAGCTTTCCAGAGTGGAAGCCAAATGAGGGCCCGCCATGGCCTGGGAGGCCAGGGCCAGAGAAGGGCACGTTCCTGGGGTGGGTGGAGCTGCCATCTGGACCCACAACTCCTGCGTCCTCAGAGTAGCCCAAAGCCTCTCTCCATGCCTGTGTCCCCGAAGATGGTCATGGACACTTTGCACAGGCCCCCCACCCAGCCAACCGCTGGCAGGCTTCACCGCCACCTACTTTTCCATCTCACCCGCTGGGCACCCAGCACCCACCAGCCTTCAGGACCTACCTCACCAGGCGTGGGGACACGACTTCATGCCCACATTTCCCGCACACATACAGCGGCTCACTGCATGGCCTGTGCCACCACACACCTGGCCGGGTTCCGGGAGGCCCTTGGAGCTGTGGGACGTGCCCAGCGTGTCTGCAGGGGTGCCCTGGGCGAGGCCAGCATCAGTGCTTGTAAAGACAGCCTCCCCAATGGGTGGGTGTCACCCCCTCCCTTGAGAGGAGGGTAAGCCACTCTCTCCGCATGAGCCACGGCCCCTCACCCAGCCTGTGCACATCAGCACCCCCAGTTCTTGGGTTTGGGACCCAGAGACTTAAACCTTCTGCACCCCAACTGCCAGGCCTTCAGACCTGGACTAATCAGCCACCTCCCTGCTTTCCCAGCTGAGCGAGGGTGGCTGGGGGACGTCTCAGCCTCCACAACGGCTGTGGGGGGAAAGCCCATCTCCGTCCAACACGGAAGCCTAGTGGTCTCCTTCCCTGGCCAGCCCTGGCCGTGAACCTCTTCCCCAGGGATCTAGAATTTTGTTTCACACCTGCGTGACCAGCCCTGAGAGACCCTGATGAGCTTCCCTGACAGAAGTGCCACGTGCTGGCAGCTGCAGGAGCAGGAGCGTGCGCACAGCCTAGAGGTGGGGGAGACAGCCGAGAGGCCTGCCCATGGCTCCCCCTGACTCAGCCGGGCCTTCTCCCTTGTCATCTGGCTGAGCGTCTTCCCCACATCCTGGGCGTGAGCACCGACAGCTAGTTGCCAGGCCCTGTGAGTCCTGCCGGTGCCTCCCTGAAGTCTGGGGTGCTCTGGGGGACCCCAACAGGCCCACTATTCTGTTAGCACCTCAAAGACAATCTTCCTGCATGGAGACTGAAGTCCTGGCCGTGGCATGGACATCAGTGAACACTTGACATCAGACACACTAATAAACGGGGAGCATTTTAGAAAACGGTGGAACTGAGGGGGTGCCAGCGCGGGACGCACCTCTGGATGCCTGGATCCGCAGCAGGATGTCCGTGATCACCGCCTTCTTCTCTCTGACGGTGGACGTGAGATATTCGTGGTCCAGGAGCTCGAGAAAGAGCCGGAGTTCCACTATTAACTCTTCCATGGCTGACAGGGAGAAAAGGTGCCATCAGGCCGAGGGCCCGCCACGCGGAACCCGAGGCTGAGTCTCACCCAGGCAGCCCCGTCCTCTGACCTCGCAGGCCCCCAGCGCAACAGGCGCAGCTGTGAAGCCAGGTCTGGAGAGACAGCGCGTCACCCCAGAGACAAGCCCGGGTCACTCCAGGGCCTCAGGCGGAGGCTACTCGCCGCCCACCAGGGACGGCCAGCGCCCAGAGATCGACACGCTGGGTGGGGGTGGCGGCAGGAGGTCAGGGCTCCAGGTCAAGGAGGGGAGGGGCTGAGCCCAAGTGGGCCTCAGGCAGTCCCTGGGACCGGCTTCAGAAACCCAACACCCAGCTCTCTGCTTCGTGGGCAGCCCCTTGGAAGGCCGGGAGCCCCCCGACAGCCACCAGGATGTGGGGCATCAGGGTACCTCAGACCCAAGTCACCTGGCCTTTCTAGGTTGTGGCGACTTGCCCCCTAGAGTCACACGATGGGGCGACGGGGCTACAGGGATACAGGGCTGATGTCAGCAAGCGTTAACCCATGTGTGAGCCTCTGGGGAGGGCGAAACCCCTTTCCAGGAGCCCATGGGGTCCAGGCATTTCTGTGACACTGAGACATTACCTTTCCCTGCACTAAGGATGCGAGGGGAAGGCCGACTGCCATGTGGGTGCAAATCCCACCCCGTGCGGCCTCTGAACTCTCCACCATATTCTCACCTCGGGGTGCCTTTGAGGAAGCAGCAAAAACGACCGCTTCACTGACTCCCCACCCCGACTGACTCCCACAGGGCCCCTCCAACTGCCCTGTGGGACACAGCAGCCGCCGTGTCCTGCAGCCAGAGCGGGGGGGAAGCACGTGTGCCCCGGAGCTGCAGGTGACACCAGCCGCCGCCTCATGAGGCACAGAGACGTGACAGGCAGACTGCGGGTGTCTGGATTTGAACACGTGACCAGTATTTTCTCAAAAATGTGCAAAATGAGCCAATTGCCACAAGGTAAACGGTGACGGCGTTTGCTGCCAAAGATGAAATTTGAGCTTCCAAGTGAAAATAAGAATTTGAAGCACTCGGCTCCACCTCTGAGAGGCACCGCTAGCTTTCCAGCGGAGACTTCTGTGAGCTCAGGAAGGACGGGGCAGGAACTAACCACGGCGACCCCCATGATGGCCAGGAGGCTGGGAGTGTGCGGGGTGGGCACAACCAGCCAATGACAGGAGCAACCCGCCACCTCCGGTCAGAGGGCACGGAAGAGCAGGGGCCCAGGGGGGCCTCCCGGGCCAAGCTCGGGTGTCGCTGGGGTCCAGGGAACAGCACCTGCGCCGCACCCGAGACCTTGTCTCCCAAATGGCCTCTTTCTTGCTGTTTCCAAGTAAACCCATCTTGTTGCTGAAATGGCTGCATTTTGTTCAAGGCCAATGATATCCAGGAGCGCCATTTTCTGACGCTCTATAGAGCGGACGTCATCACAACTCAGCAAACCAAGATGTCACGAAAGATGCCTCTCCTGTGCAAACCACCCTGAGATCGCCTCAGGTAACAGAATGAAATGGCCTTGGATGCAGCGCCCACGTGGCCAGAAGCCCCATCTACACAGTAGCCTGCCGGGCTCGCCACCCCGCCACCCGTGAAGTCAAACCTTCACTCTGTGCATCGGCGCTCCACGGCGAGGGGAGCCAATGTTCCTCCAGAAAACGGGAAAACTTCGAAAGACAGAAAAGAAACTACCACGTGCCGAGTTTGGGGGTGGTGTCAAAGAACATTCACGACTCGCTGGAAAGGCCACCGCAACACTTCCCTTTCCAGCTGCACATCTGCGTGAGGCCGGTGTCCTCGCGCCCTGCCACCGAGATCACATCTCAGCAACCTGCATGCGGACGTGAGAAGCCGGCGCTCCCTCCCGCACTGGGCCAGGCAACACAGCTCCCTCAGAACACTCAGAGCACCGCGCCCTCCCCAGGCCCGTGGCTCGTGAATATAATCACTTCACGCTGGTGTGAGGCCTCAAAACTCTGCTACGCCTCAGCTAGACTACGATCAGTATCTACAGATACACCCACATAAATACACCGCTTGGGGTTTTCTGTATATTTATTTGGATACCAATCAAAAACGACTGAGAACCACCAATCCATGGGATTTTTTTCAAACCTACTATTTTACAAGTTCACAACACCCAACGTCTTAAAAGATTCTCACTCAGACCACCATTTTATAACTACACAGCTCTCTTCATCTGGGGCAAGAAATGGCAGGTGAGCTCAAAGTAGGCAAGGTAAGGCCCTGGGCTGATCACTTCCTAAGTGGACAAGCTGCCCTATATAAAAATGCAGACATTGGGTTAGGTAAACCTCTAAAGTCTTTTTCTACAGACACACACCACAGACTCCTCACACATCAACACAGTGTCCTCACACACACACACCAGTCTCCTCATACACACACCACAGTCTCCTCTCACACACTGCAGTCTCCTCACACACACCAGTCTCCTCATACACACACCACAGTCTCCTCTCACACACTGCAGTCTCCTCACACACACCAGTCTCCTCACACACACTGCATCTCCTCACACACACACCATCTCCTCACTCATAATCATCGTCTACTCACACACACCACCGTCTCCTCTCACACACACCAGTCTACTCACACACACCACCGTCTCCTCTCACACACCACAGTCTCCTTTCATACACCACAGTCTCCTCACACACACACCATCTCCTCACTCATACCACAGTCTCCTCACACACACACCAGTCTACTCACACACACCACCGTCTCCTCTCACACACCACAGTCTCCTTTCACACACCAGTCTCCTCACACACACACCATCTCCTCACTCATACCACAGTCTCCTCACACACACACCAGTCTACTCACACACACCACCGTCTCCTCTCACACACCACAGTCTCCTTTCACACACCAGTCTCCTCACACACACACCATCTCCTCACTCATACCACAGTCTCCTCACACACCACAGTCTCCTCACACACACCAGTCTCCTCACACACACACCATCTCCTCACTCACACCACAGTCTCCTCACACACCACAGTCTCCTCACACACACCACAGTCTCCTCACACACACACCGCTCCTCACTCACACCACAGTCTCCTCACACACACACCATCTCCTCACTCACACCAGTCTTTGGGAACAACTTCAATCCCAGCCTGCCTACATCTGCTCTTTATGCCGACTCTCCCAAGGTGGGCTCAACAATCAGACTGTCAAACATGGCCAGGACACTGGAGACTTGGATGCCCAAGCTGTCCTCACCCCACTCACTGCCCTCATTGGAGCTAAATTTGAGGCTCCGATCAGCAAACAGTTTTGGAAGCATCCCTGAGCCCAGGACTAAGCTACTTCTCAGAACCTTGTCATTGTCCCCTACGTGCTTCTCTCCGTGACATTTACTGACCTGGTGTGACTGTGAACAACACTAGCCCCTGCAGACTTCCAGGGTCGTGTTGCTCCTGCCCACCCCTGCCTCACTGAGGCTGGTGGCCCACTCTCCTCAGCTGCCTCTGGCGTAGCCTGGAGGCCACTGGCTCAGCCCTGCCCCCCACACAGGCACTTGTACCGCTGCAGCCTCTCTGCCTGCCTCCTCTTACCAATCAAGCCTCCACACTCGTTCAGGCATCACCTCTGCCCGCAGTCCGGCACCAGGCCCGACAGGGCATCTCACACTGTGTTGACACACTGTGTTTGGGGAACGCATGCACTTGTTTGTTTCTAGATCTCCACAAAAGACAAGAAGGCTGATATTTGTTTTGAAGAGAACACTGAGAAGAAAAATGCTACGGGCCGTCCTTGCATCGGAAGTAACTGTGTCGTCTGTGACATTCTTAGAACACATGCATCAAAAGCAGTGAAAGGACGTCCCTGACTTGTTGGTTTTCCCCAATAGACACTGGGCCCCTGCTCAGGGCCTCCCTGTGGCAGCAGCTGCAGACACTCCACCTCTGCTGGGGACGGCCTGGTGCAGCCCTCGGGCCCAGCAGCCGCCACCATGGCCAGGCGCGCACATACTTTCCCTTATAGGGTCACAGGCCAGGGTCTTCCCGCAGACTCTTCCAAATGTTTCCACAGGCTCGACAGAGCATCTAAAACGGCTGCCTGGCCTGAGCTGAGCCTCTCACGATGTGCAAGGTGGCTTTCAGAGCCGGCTGGCTGGAACATGTTCCTCAGTGACAGGTAAATTCCTTAACACTCCAGATGACCAGCATCTGAGTGACTGGGTAACGTGGAAAAGAGGCCACAAAACCCCTGGACTTCCAGCATCCCGGCCAGGATGAACCCACAGGGCCGCCCGGGCTCCAGGAAGACAGCTGCAGACAGGAGCCCGACTTCAGATCCTCGAGAGTTCAATTCCAGTCTGAACCAAGAAAACAAGTGAGGTCTCCACACATCCCATCACTCTCGGGTCTGGACAGGGCCCACGACATCATGGTTCAGTCTCAGCACCCGCGCTGGCGCTGTAAGAGGGCCATCGTGCCCCACAGAAAGTGCGCAGGCTGAACAGTGGGACCCCCGTGCCTCTGAGCCCTGACATCTCCCTTCTGGATTACATGGAGTCAGCCCAGCGTCCCAAGGCTGTAAGTGTAAAACCCACACACTCTGGGGAAGTCATCGTGACACTTAAGCAGCTGATGACCGCCAGAGGGACACGGCAAGGCGTAACAGAAAACACCCTTCGCTTTGTTTGGTAGAAAGCAAAAGGCAGATTCTAGGTCTAGGCGTGTCTTTTACTAACTATGGTGTTCACTTGTTCTTACACTTGATAACACGCATAAACCGACACCACCACAGGAATCCAATTCCCTGCTTCTGGAAGCTGAGGCAGTAGGAAACCACTGAGGAAAACCAAGCTGGTTGTTAAGAAAGCAGTTCAATACAACAGTGAGAAAGAGCATCTCCACTCCACTTACAAACATTCAGTGAATTCAGAGATAACTTATCAAACACCATGTTCACGACCGTG